TGCTGGGCCAATTGTGCGCCGCCCCATGGGTCTCCCGGTCGCGGCCGGCTACGACAGAGCCTGGATTCGAACCAGGATCTCTAGGGGCACAGCTAGCACTGCGATGCAGTGCCTTAGACCACTGCGCCACTCGGGAGAGTGATTAGCTCTTCAGGAGTCTTATGGCTTGGGGGTAGAAGCTGTTAAGAAGCCTTTTGGACCTAGACTTGGCGCTCCGGTACCGCTTGCCGTGCTGTAGCAGAGAGAACAGTCTATGACTAGGGTGGCTGGAGTCTTTGACCATTTTTAGGGCCTTCCTCTGACACCACCTGCTATAGAGGTCCTGGATGGCAGGAAGCTTGGCCCCAGTGATGTACTGGACCGTACGCACTACCCTCTGTAGTGCCTTGTGGTCAAAGGCCGAGCAGTTGCCATACCAGGCGGTGATGCAACCAGTCAGGATGCTCTCGATGGTGCAGCTGTAGAACTTTTTGAGGATCTGAGGACCGATGCCAAATCTTTTCAGTCTCCTGAGGGGGAATAGGCTTTGTTGTGCCCTCTTCACGACTGTCTTGGTGTGTTTGGACCATGATAGTTTGTTGGTGATGTGGACACTAAGGAACTTGAAGCTCTCTACCTGTTCCACTACAGCCCCGTCAATGAGAATGGGGGCATGCTCAGTCCTCTTTTTTTCCTGTAGTCCACAATCATCTCCTTTGTCTTGATCACGTTGAGGGAGAGGTTGTTATCCTGGCACCACACGGCCAGGTCTCTGACCTCCTCCCTATAGGCTGTCTCATTGTTGTCAGTGATCAGGCCTACCACTGTTGTGTCGTCGGCAAACTTAATGATGGTGTTGGAGACGTGCCTGGCCATGCAGTCATGGGTGAACAGGGAGTACAGGAGGGGACAGAGCACACACCCCTGAGGGGCCCCCGTGTTGAGGATCAGCGTGGCAGATGTGTTGTTACCTACCCTTACCACCTGGAGGTGGAGGTGTTTAGTCCCAGGGTCCTTAGCTTAGTGATGAGCTTTGAGGGCACTATGGTATTGAACACTGAGCTGTAGTCAATGAATAGCATTCTGACGTAGGTGTTCCTGTTGTCCAGGTGGGAAAGGGCAGTGTGGAGTGCAATAGAGATTGCATCATCTGTGGATCTGTTGGGGCGGTATGCAAATTGGAGTGGGTCAAGGGTTTCTGGGATAATGGTGTTGATGTGAGCCATGACTCCACAGAGCTGGCTTTACGGAAGAGTCATTGCTTAAAGAAAAAAATAAGCAAACACGTTTGGTGTTCGCCAAAAGGCATGTGGGAGACTCCCCAAACATATGGAAGAAGGTACTCTGGTCAGATGAGACTAAAATTGAGCTTTTTGGCCATCAAGGAAAACGCTATGTCTGGCACAAACCCAACACCTCTCATCACCCCGAGAACACCATCCCCACAGTGAAGCATGGTGGTGGCAGCATCATACTGTGGGGATGTTTTTCATCGGCAGGGACTGGGAAACTGGTCAGAATTGAAGGAATGATGGATGGCGCTAAATACAGGGAAATTCTTGAGGGAAACCTGTTTCAGTCCTCCAGAGATTTGAGACTGGGACGGAGTTTCACCTTCCAGCAGGACAATGACCCTAAGCATACTGCTAAAGCAACACTTGAGTGGTTTAAGGGGAAACATTTAAATGTATTGGAATGGCCTAGTCAATGCCCAGACCTCAGAATCTGTGGTATGACTGAAAGATTGCTGTACACCAGCGGAACCCATCCAACTTGAAGAAGCTGGAGCAGTTTTGCCTTGAAGAATGGGCAGAAATCCCAGTGGCTAGATGTGCCAAGCTTATAGAGACGTACCCCAAGAGATTTGCAGCTGTAATTGCTGCAAAGGGTGGCTCTACAAAGTATTGACTTTGGAGGTTGAATAGTTATGCACGAACAAGTTTTCTGTTTTCTTTGTCTTATTTCTTGTTTGTTTCACAAGAAAAAATATTTTGCATCTTCAAAGTGGTAGGCATGTTGTGTAAATCAAATTATACAAACCCCCAAAAAATCCAATTTAATTCCAGGTTGTAAGGCAACAAAATAGGAAAAATGTCAAGGGAGGTGAATACTATTGCAAGCCACTGTATACCGTATTCCTATTTGTCGCATCAGCCTGAATTTCTTAAACCAACAACAATGGGAACCTAAGTGGTCTAGAGATGCAACAGTAAGGTTACTTTCAATTATGGAACTTCAGGATTTTGGGCACTGTCCAGCTAGGCTAGTAGGCTACTATTCGTACTAGCCTGGGTCCAAAATCGGTGCCGAAAAGTACTATCCTCGAGTTAGCTTAATTTCCATTCCTGGTTACTTTTTCGTAGCGAGTGAGATGTCTACCTCAGAGTTATAGCTGCCTCTCGGCTATACACGCCTAGTGCCCAAATTGATTACGTTTGTCGCACTGCGAGAGTCAAGTGGAGATGAACAGATTCGGTTCAGTTCAGTCAGTCTTCCTGAAGAGCCCTTAAATCACTACAATACATGTGCTTTAGCTGTCACCCTGGCCTGATATTGGCTACACTATCTAGCTGCATCTCTCTCCTTACTGCAGCAAGCAGGAGCGAATGACATGGTGCCCCTGTGTTGTTGTGTTGTCAGCTTGCAGCGCAAACTCTCCGCATTGAGCAGTGTAGACTGTGTAGACTCACATGGGCTGTGTTCTCTGGCGCAACTACCTGTCAATCACAAAGTGTGTTACCAGTTTACCATTGAGACTGATGGCGCAATGTCCACCAATTAATCCCAGCTGTCATGACGGGTAACTTTAAATGTCTTTTTTTTATGGCTAGGTAGCAAGCTTTTTTGTTCTTTGTAATACGTTTTTGGTAGCTATTGTCCAAGTCGTTGTTATTAAAAGTTTGTAACTCTAACGTTGTGGTCTGATACTAGCTACCAAAATTGATTAGATAAAGTTATTTTGCAAGCTATTTTTAAGCTAGCTAGCTAGTTAGCTAATGTTAGCTTGATTCTGAATGGAGCCATGCAGTGCATTTGAAAAGTATTCAGACACCTTGACTTTATCCACATTTTGTTACATTACAGCCTTATTCTAAAATTGATTAAATAGTTTTTTTCCCTCATCAATCTACAAACAATAACCAATAACGAGAAATAAAAAACGGAAATATCACATTTACATAAGTATTCAGACCCTTACTCAGTACTTTGTTGAAGCACCTTTGGGAGCGATTACAGCCTTGAGTCTTCTTGGGTATGACGCTACAAGCTTGGCACACCTGTCCCGTGTAGCTCAGTTGGTGGAGCATGGTGTTTGCAATGCCAGGGTTGTGGGTTCGATTCCCACGGGGGGCCAGTATGAAAAATGTATGCACTCACTAACTGTAAGTCGCTCTGTATAAGAGCGTCTGCTAAATGACTAAAATCTAAATCTATTTGGGGAGTTTCTCCCATTCTTCTCTAAAGCTCCTCTCAAGCTCTGTCAGGTTGGATGGGGAGCGTCGCTGCACAGCTATTTTCAGGTCTCTCCAGAGATGTTCAATTGGGTTCAAGTCCGGGCCTCTCAAGGACATTCAGAGACTTGTCCCGAAGCCACTCATGCGTTGTCTTGGCTGTGTGCTTAGGGTCGTTGTCCTGTTGGAAGGTGAACCTTCGCCCCAGTCTGAGGTCCTGAGAGCTCTGGAGCAGGTTTTCATCAAGGATCTCTCTGTACTTTGCTCCGTTCATCTTTCCCCCGATCCTGACTAGTCTCCCAGTCCCTGCCGCTGAAAAACATCACCACAGCATGATGCTGCCAACACCATGCTTCACCGTAGGGATGGTGCCAGGTTTCCTCTAGACGTGACGCTTGGCATTCAGGGCAAAGAGTTCAATCTTGGTTTCATCAGACCAGAGAATCTTGTTTCTCATGGTCAGAGTCGTTTAGGTGCCTCTTGGCAAACTCCAAGCGGGCTGTCATGTGCCTTTTACTGAGGAGTGGCTTCCATCTGGCCACTCTACCATAAAGGCCTGATTGTTGGAGTGGTTATAAAAAAAATATCAGAAACTTTGAACATTCCACGGAGCACCATTAAATCCATTATTAAAATATTTAAAGAATATGGCACCACAACAAACCTGCCAAGAGAGGGCCGCCCACCAAAACTCACGGAACAGGCAAGGAGGGCATTAATCAGAGAGGCAACAAAGAGACCAAAGATAACATTGAAGGAACTGCAAAGCTCCACAGTGGAGATTGGAGTATCTGTCCACAGTACCACTTTAAGCCGTACACTCTACAGAGCTGGGCTTTACGAAAGAGTGGCCAGAAAAAAGCCATTGCTTAAAGAAATAAATAAGCAAACACGTTTGGTGTTCGCCACAAGCCATGTGGGAGACTCCCCAAACATATGGAAGATGGTACTCTGGTCAGATGAGACTAAAATTTAGCTTTTTGGCCATCAAGGAAAATGCTATGTCTGGCGCAAACCCAACACCTCTCATCACCCCGAGAACACCATCCCCACAGTGAAGCATGGTAGTGGCAGCATCATACTGTGGGGATGTTTTTCATCGGCAGGGACTGGGAAACTGGTCAGAATTGAAGGAATGATGGATGGCGCTAAATACAGGGAAATTCTTGAGGGAAACCTGTTTCAGTCTTCCAGAGATTTGAGACTGGGACGGAGGTTCACCTTCCAGCGGTGAATAGTTATGCACGCTCAAGTTATTTCTTGATTATTTTTTTTTTTTTTATATTTTGCATCTTCAAATTGATAGGCATGTTGTGTAAATCAAATGATACAAACCCCCCAAAAATCCATTTTAATTCCAGGTTATAAGGTAACAAAATAGGAAAAATGCCAAGGGGGGTGAATACTTTCGCAAGCCACTGTAGCTAGCTAACGTTAGCTACCCTAGTCTGACCTCAAGAGTAACCTAACGTTAGCTGACATAGCTAGTTGGCAGACGATGATAGCTAGCTAAATGTCTACTGGCACCTGGACATGGTATGCCTCCTGTTAGAGGCTAGGGCTGACAAGATGTACACAGCCCTCATGGAGGATTGTATGGTGAGTACAGACACACACTGGCTGCTGTTGGAGAGCGGGGCACAGGTCAACATGCCTGCTGACTCTTTTGCGTCTCTGCTGACGCTGGCGGCCTGTTGGGGACACGTACTGTATAGCTGGCTGCCATGCTAATCGAGAGGGGCACCAACCTGGAGGAGGTCAATGATGAGGGATACAATCCACTCATGGAGGCTGCACGAGAGGGCCAAGAGAAGATGGTGGCCCTGCCAGACACTCACCGACTCCTATCCTTAGGTAGCCCCCATAGAGGTAGATAAAGGACCAGTGGCGGCTGGTGAAAATTATTCTCGGTGGGGCTGTGCCATACTTTTTTTTTCCTGTAACCATCGCGATATATTTTAACACAAACTGCAGGACAGCAGTGCTCAGTGAAACATTCAGTAATTATTTAATGCCAATATTAAAAAGTTGAGGCATTCTTACACAAAAACATATTACACAAACCCAAGCCTTTCATTTGCATTTAAAGTGAACTTTTCACCATTGGTAGTAAACAGGCAACGCAACAGGCATGCTGTCAGAACAGAGTGGAAAGTGGACAATAACATGAAATTATTATAAAGTTTATAGGAAATCTTACACTGTATAAAAGGATGTATAATATAGAAATGGATATCAAGTGGATGAACTCAAACCTTTGACTGGAAGAATAGCATACAGTATTTTATGATCATACTAAATGTGACTAATTGTTAATGTGCTCCAGAACTGCAACAATTAATTGATACAAAACAACATATATACAGTAATATTAGCAAAGACACTATTAAGACTTTCTAGAGTACCATATATAACTGGATTTTTTATGCTAAGGTCAACTATATACAAAGAAACATGCGGCCAGAGCTGCTCTGTGTGTGTGTGTCTGTCATCTTATTTGTACAGGAATTTTGCCCGTCTGTCCTTCTGAGTGGCAAACCTCTCAATGACCCTTTGATTAAAGTCAGGAATGTCCCTGACAAGTTTCTTCTCCATGGAGAGCATGGCCAGAGCGTTCAGGCGATCCTGTGTCATGCTGTTTCTCAGGAAGGTCTTGATCCTTTTCAGTGTAGAGAAGCACCTTTCTGACTCAGCAGTTGTCATGGGTGTGGTGATGAGGATCTTGAGGAGGCTGGCAGTCTCTGTGAAAGTGCTCTGAAGGTTGTTCTCCATGAAGAACTGGTACAGGGGCACTGCACCACTACAAGCCTTGAACTCACTGTTCTCATAGATGAGGGACAGTTCGGTTTTGAGCTTGGCCTTGTTCAACATGGGGTACGCCTCCACGGTTGTTTCAAGCGCTGTATCGGGGAAATTCACACTGTGTTGTGGGAACAACTCTCCGTGCAATAGTGTTGCGCTGATGAGGTGCTGGGTGAAGGAGAACCTCTCTTTGGCATGACTCAGGATGGTATCACATACCTGTAAAAGATACATCATCAGCTTTAATTTGCAATTAAGCTATTTTGATGCAAGTGATCCTGACTGACACATGCCTATGTCCAACTCAAGTATATGATTACCAAGGTGCTGATTGTTCAGGGTTTTGGCTACATACTACCAGGCCTGAAAAAAGTTCTAGGGGGAAACACTGACAATTACATCACAACTTACCTCTATAGCCAACCTCTGTTGTTCTCCTGGTCCCAGCATCCTCCGTCGCTTGATGGGCTGTTGCTGCTCGTCAGATGCGCTGTCCCCACACAAAGAGGGAATTGAGGCCCTGGGTCCAAAAAATAAAGTTTAATTTGATAACTTGCAATCAGACTTCTTAACTCACTGTAATTCCCCCTCAACACACAACCAGTGACTTTTATATATATATACAGTGGGGAAAAAAAGTATTTAGTCAGCCACCAATTGTGCAAGTTCTCCCACTTAAAAAGATGAGAGAGGCCTGTAATTTTCATCATAGGTACACGTCAACTATGACAGACAAAATGAGGGAAAAAAATCCAGAAAATCACATTGTAGGATTTTTAATGAATTTATTGGCATATGATGGTGGAAAATAAGTATTTGGTCAATAACAAAAGTTTCTCAATACTTTGTTATATACCCTTTGTTGGCAATGACACAGGTCAAACGTTTTCTGTAAGTCTTCACAAGGTTTTCACACACTGTTGCTGGTATTTTGGCCCATTCCTCCATGCAGATCTCCTCTAGAAAAGTGATGTTTTGGGGCTGTCGCTGGGCAACACAGACTTTCAACTCCCTCCAAAGATTTTCTATGGGGTTGAGATCTGGAGACTGGCTAGGCCACTCCAGGACCTTGAAATGCTTCTTACGAAGCCACTCCTTCGTTGCCCGGGCGGTGTGTTTGGGATCATTGTCATGCTGAAAGACCCAGCCACGTTTCATCTTCAATGCCCTTGCTGATGGAAGGAGGGTTTCACTCAAAATCTCACAATACATGGCCCCATTCATTCTTTCCTTTACACGGATCAGTCGTCCTGGTCCCTTTGCAGAAAAACAGCCCCAAAGCATGATGTTTCCAACCCCATGCTTCACAGTAGGTATGGTGTTCTTTGGATGCAACTCAGCATTCTTTGTCCTCCAAACATGACGAGTTGAGTTTTTACGAAAAAGTTATATTTTGGTTTCATCTGACCATATGACATTCTCCCAATCCTCTTCTGGATCATCCAAATGCACTTCAGACGGGCCTGGACATGTACTGGCTTAAGCAGGGGGACACGTCTCGCACTGCAGGATTTGAGTCCCTGGCGGCGTAGTGTGTTACTGATGGTTGGCTTTGTTACTTTGGTCCCAGCTCTCTGCAGGTCATTCACTAGGTCCCCCCGTGTGGTTCTGGGATTTTTGCTCACCGTTCTTGTGATCATTTTGACCCCACGGGGTGAGATCTTGCGTGGAGCCCCAGATCGAGGGAGATTATCAGTGGTCTTGTATGTCTTCCATTTCCTAATAATTGCTCCCACAGTTGATTTCTTCAAACCAAGCTGCTTACCTATTGCAGATTCAGTCTTCCCAGCCTGGTGCAGGTCTACAATTTTGTTTTTGGTGTCCTTTGACAGCTCTTTGGTCTTGGCCATTGTGAAGTTTGGAGTGTGACTGTTTGAGGTTGTGGACAGGTGTATTTTATACTGATAACAAGTTCAAACAGGTGCCATTAATACAGGTAACGAGTGGAGGACAGAGGAGCCTCTGAAAGAAGAAGTTACAGGTCTGTGAGAGCCAGAAATCTTGCTTGTTTGTAGGTGACCAAATACTTATTTTCCACCATAATTTGCAAATAAATTCATTAAAAATCCTACAATGGGATTTTCTGGATTTTTTTTCCTCAATTTGTCTGTCATAGTTGACGTGTACCTATGATGAAAATTACAGGCTTCTCTCATCTTTTTAAGTGGGAGAACTTGCACAATTGGTGGCTGACTAAATACTTTTTTTCCCCACTGTATATATATATACAGACAGACAGACAGACAGACAGACAGACAGACAGATAGTGTGTATATACACACAAACTATGTCTAGTAACTGCTTTTAACCTGTGATGTACATAATTAACTGATGTTATTACGTTTTAAAGCCTTTTTCTATTACATTTGTGAGAGGGATGCAACATCATTTTGTTCTGCTGTGCACTTAGCAATAAAGTTAATCTTCAATAACAACTAGGCCTCTTCTAGAAATTGACCTGGTGGACACCTGAATAATTATTACAAACTGTGTAGTACTTTCCTGCATTATTATCAATGTCTGATTGTGTCTTCTCTTTCCTTTTAAAATACTAAAACAAATATAATTGTGACGGCTCTATGATAATCACTCACTTTGATGACCAGACACATTTAGGCTTTTAAACTGTTGTAAGTGAACTATTCATCTTTCTAACAACATCTTTATCAGCCAATAGTAAATATAGTTATTTACCTGATTGTTAGCATGCTGTCTGTGAACCTCTGGACAAGTGCTTTAATGAAGACAGGGTCGATGTTCCTCTTCTGCAGCTGGCTGAAAAGCATGTCCACATTTGGCATGATCTTGTGGAACAGTGCCAGGAAAAAACAGAAAGCCTCGTCTTCGAGCATCCTCACAAAGCCCCCCGCCTCTCTGACAGTCGGGGCATCAAAGTTCCCAGAGTCTCTGATGGTCTGGAAACACGTTAGGAGGTCATCCCTGTACTCCTACACAGTGTTTACAGCGCGACTGTGGAAGTTCCACCGTGTTGTAGAGGCTCTGGGGAGTCTATGCGCAACCACTTCGTCAAGCACGGTGGTTCGCTTGGGAGACCTGGAGAAGAAAGCAGAAAATCCTGCAAGGTCGGAAAAGAAAGTGCCGATCCTGGGGATGCGTGAAGTAGCCTGCTGCATGATGAGGTTCAGCTGATGTGCATAGCAGTGGACGTAGTGCGCATTTTCGTACACATCCACTATTTTACGCTGCACTCCGCCGGTGGCTCCCCTCATCACACTTGCTCCGTCGTAAGCCTGGGCAATAAGTTTGGCCTTTTGTCCATGTGAGAGTATGGTGCTGAGCCTCTCCAGCAGCGCTGTAGCGATGGTGTCGGTGGTTGCGTTCTCGATCAAAATGAACTCGAAAAAACGCTCTTGGACGTTACTTTTAGCATCGATGTAGCGTATCACAAGCACCAACTGGCAGTGGGTGGAAACGTCAGTCGTCTCGTCAGCTTGAATGGCGATAAAATCAGCACTCTTTACTTCCTCCAGGATGTAATCCTTAAGCACTGACAGCATACAGTCCAACAGCTCGTTCTGTATCGTCTTTGACGTGCCCTTAAAAACGGTAGCTGTCTTCAGGTGCTCCTCCAGCACACTGTCGAGGGAGGCAACAAAATCCACTAAGCCCCGGAAAATGCCGGGGTTGTCCGAGGAGTCAGTCTCCTCGTGCCCACGCAAGGCCAACTTAAAAGCCCCACAGAACTTCACACAATCGATAATTTTGGATAGAATGTGCCTGTTTTTATCCACCTCCTCATTGTGTTTCCTCACCGCAATCCTGTGGCCGTCATCCAGCTGCGTAGCAATGTTCACCCTTCCTAATACAGCTAGCTTTACAGAGTTGTCCATGTGTGCCCTGGTGTTCTCATGTTTCTTTACCTTCTCTGACAGGTGCTTCATATCCCTCACTCCGGTACCTGTCCATGCTGAATCTGACCCCGTCGTTTTAAAAAGCAAGCACGGAAAGCAAAATAAAGCATTAGCATCAGTGCACCCAGCTAGCCAAGCCTTCCTGGTGTACCAGCTACGGGAGAAGCCGCGCATATACTGCTTCCCTTTCTCGCTAGCCTGCTGTCTGATTGAGAGGTCAGGTTGATCTGGGCCCAGCTCTTTCACCCGAACTTTCTCTGACAAAGTTCTCCTCTCAAACGGATCTTGGAGGAGAGATTTCACCGAGTTAGGGTTGGGTCTTGGAGGAGTAACGTTTGCGCTCGCCATTGTCGTCTAGTAAAAATGGCGCCACTGGAGCCCGGTCCTTATTTTATCAGGGGCGAGCTTGGGGCGATAAAATAATCGCCCTCCTTGGATTCGATTTAAGATCGCTGATTGGCTACATTTTATGTCATACATTCATATCTTAAATTAGCAATTGGCTTAACTGCTACGTAGACCCGCCTCCTCGGGGCACTTTCTGTATCGCCCAGAGCTGATGAGGCGTTTGACAGGCAGAGGAAAGGTTGCGAATATGATTTTCTATCATATCTTACACATATTACTGTGTGCATTCCATATTTCAAACACACAAATATTGACATACTGATGTTTTTATTATTATTATTATTATTTTTATTTATTTTTTATTTTATTTTTTTAAATAATTGTATTTAAGGGGGCGGCGCCCTAGCGCCCTCTATCGGCCAGCCGCCACTGTAAAGGACTCATCTGTGCCATTATAGCATCTGAGACAGCATGGGCAGTGCCATTGAGGCTATCTATTTTAATGTAGTCAGTTTTCTTTTTCACCATTGGCTGATCCCTCCTGATGACCCGGTTGGACATGACTCCAACAGGGCCACCAGCAGGGATCAGCCAATGAAGTTGGAAGTCCCACCCAGTTGACTGCATTCAAATGGTGGAAGTACTCAATGGTGCTACCCATGCAAATACGGCCTTTTGGCCACTAGAGGCCTCTATCATTCTCTCTGGTAGCCCCCTGCCAGACACAGCTTTTGTCAAGACCTGTGGTTTTGTTGATAGATTTTACCTACCATATTGACCGTCCAAGCTCAGTGTTGAGGCAAAATATGAAACTCCTCTTTTACGTTCATAATCTCATTGAGTTTATGTAAAAGGTACAAGCTAGCTTTTCCCAAATAAATTGAAATCATTGTTCTGGGGTCAATAGCCAACAGTGGGAATAGATTAGTGCTCTTTTAATGTGCGTTCCAAGCAGAACCATTTAAAATCCTCCTTCTGTTGTATCTGTTGTCTGCAGGTGCCAACATCAACGCTCAGACAGAATAGACCCAGGAGACGGCCATAACTGGTGCTGGCTGCAGGTGAGCAGAACTTCCTAACTGGACAGCCTCTCTGTTCGGCTCTCTCAAACCAAACTCTACTGACCTCTATTTGAGATTCTATCATCCTCAATACTTACATTATCAAAATTAACTTGGTTATCACCAAAACCAACATTTCCTCAAGTTTTTCTTTGTTATCCTTAACACACACACAACCCTCTGTGTGTAATTTGACACCTGTGTTTTTCTCCTCAGGAGCCAATGTCCACACCACCACGGCGGCGGGGAGACACGGCGCTGATGTTCACTTGTGAGAACGTACACACAGACGTGGCCATAGGGCTCTGGTCAAAAGTAGTGCACTTTATAGGGAATAGGGTGCCATATAGGATGCAACCTGGGTGTTGTTTAGATGCATGACTCCTTGAATAGGCGTTTCCATGTGTCCGTTTTACTCACGCCTGTCTTTCTGTTGCAGGAACATGAATTGGAGGGGGACAGAACCCCCTCTAATGAAAGTCAAGAAGGACCAATGTTTAATGAGGTAATTTGCACACTCCAAATTGTAAGCATTGGGCATCCTACTTTTGTGTCGTATAGTTATTAGGAAATTCTGGTCAGTTTACAAATATTATGTCTTGTTTTATTTTTGCCCTGTCACATGTTCTAGCCTAGGGCAATGTAAATATGCATGTATTTTTGCTAATACAGTCTTCTCACAATTGGTAAAATGTTTAGCTTGATTGCACATGAATTTAGATGTTTTTGTGTGCAAGAAAGGAGATCCATGAAGTGAACAGGGACAGCATCTCTAATCCTGAGTTCTCGTCAAGTAAAGGTAAGGGGGGCTCACTTAGGGAGCTCTACACTCACAATTCTACTTAGTTCAGGAACTAAATGGGCATTCTTATGGAGAAATCAAATGTCTTAGTCAACTGAATTGAGATCGAATTAATTGGTAACTCTTGACTTGCTCTGGCTCCTCCCAAGTTTGGACGGGGCAGTGCATTTCCTCAAAATCAAGGGTGTCCCTGACAGTTGGAAGATGGACATGAGAGAGATCTTTACATCATCCTGCATCGAGGAGGACACCGAAGGAAAAGAGAGTGAAGAGGAAAAGGATGTGCTAAGGGTGGTCACACCATTGTGGTGTCCTACCTCCTCGACTACCCCAACAACATCCTGTCAGTCCCCGCGCCAGACCTATCTTAGCTCACACACCCCTCCCATGACACCTTTAGCTGGTTTACTAACAGACAAACAACTACTGTACTTCTGCAAACATGTTTATTTATTTGTCTGGATGGTGTTGTATTGACACCAAGTTGATAACAAATATTGATACCAAATATACTTTTGTAATATCTACTTACATCTTACCTAACCCAAACAGACTCCATGAGTTCGATTCCAAGCCCTGGCCATGGTTCTGCCTCCCTAAGAGCCAGACAGAGTACCCTCCAACATCACAACACCTCCACTCGTCAACACAAAAGGTCAGTCCAATAGGTCTAACTTTGTTAATTCCCTGACCAAGAAGACAACAAGACACCAGTTGACTGCACAAGGCATCAACGCATTACAGGTAATGATTACTGTATACTGTATGGTACAACCTTGTAGCTAAATGGTTGTGTTGTCCTGTGTGGCTGTCTCAGGCGGCTCCAAGCAGTGGCTGAGCCCCCTACAGGGTAACCCCGTTGATACAGACAGTCCAGACAGAACTGCTGCCCCCTTCCACCCATACCAGACCGTGGAGTGCACCGTGAAAGAGACGGAGGGCAAGCTGAACGAGCTGGGCCAGAGGATCTCAGCCATAGAGAAGGCCCAGCTGCAGAATAAGAGGATGATCCTCAAGGAGCAGTTCACCAAAGAGTACATGAAGGCCAAAGGCCTGAAGGATGACCCGTGCAGCCCTTGCAGACCAGCTTCGTACCTTGGCCACACAGCAGTCCAGACGTTAATACGGTAGACTACTCCGACAGCTCTAGCCCTGACTTGCTGAGGCTGATGGTGAGCCAGCAGCAGATGTTGGGGCAGCAGTTGACAGGCATGGGACAGGGCCTTCTCAACCAGACCCCCAACGGACTAATGGTGGCCTTCCCCACACAGGACAACATCATGGCAGGTATGTGTGCAGTTACGATAGAAGCTGGTTCTCCCTTAATTATTTGTTCCTTAATTCAAAAAATAGAGACAGTGTTCCGTCCCCCATCCTTTTCCTTAATGCTGAACATGGTTTCAATACATTTTCAACATAATTCACAACTGGTTTTAAATTAAATCTTTAATTTAATTTACGCTGAACAAAAATATAAACGTAAAGTGTTGGTCCCATGTTTCACAAGCTGAAACAAAAGATCCCAGAAATGTTCCATTCACACAAAAAGCGTATTTGGCAAAAGAAATTAGCTACATTTTTTCTACATGTTAGCCCCATGGTGGCGGTGGGGTTATGGTATGGGCAGGCATAAGCTACGGACACGAACACAATTACATTTTATCGATAGCAATTTCAATGCACAGAGCTACCGTGACAAGATCCTGAGGACCATTGTCGTGCCATTCATCCGCCGCCATCACCTCATGTTTAAGCATGATAATGCACGGCCCCATGTCGCAAGGATCTGTACACAATTCCTGGAAGTTGAAAATGTCCCAGTTGGCCTGCATACTCACCAGGCATTTCACCCATTGAGCATGTTTGGGATGCTCTGGATCTACGTTTATTATGATGTGTTCCAGTTCCCGCCAATATCAGCAACTTCGCACAGCCATTGAAGAGGAGTGGGACATCATTCCACAGGCCACAATCAACAGCCTGATCAACTATATGTGAAGGAGATGTGTCACGCTGCATGAGGAAAATGGTGGTCACACCAGATACTGACTGGTTTTCTGATCCACACCCCTACCTTTTTGTTAAGATATCTGTGACCAACAGACACATATCTGTATGCCCAGTCATGTGAAATCCATAGATTAGGGCCTGATTTCCTTTGAAATTGTTGCATGTTGCGTTTATATTTTTGTCCAGTTAAATATGATGTATTTTTTATTTGAAGGTTGACTCTTATTAACAGCTCTCTCGCCCCGTGACAGTAGCGGTGAGCAGAAGAGTGCCTATGTTGAACACTGCAACCTCGCCCATACCCACAGCTCAGACGCCCATCAACACAATGTCCCCACCCTCCATGCTCCCCCTCTAGCCCTCTGTGGACATCGATGCACATATACGTCACACCACGTAGCTATATTTTTATATTTAGATGTCCATCTTTCAGGGAACTTGATAATTTGTGTGTAGAAGTGGGAGTCTGTATCAGTGTATGATGGTGTTGGAGAGTAATCTCTGTCCCCAGGGTTCACTCCTCTAACCCTGGCTGCTACAGCGGGTCATGTTGAGGTGGAGATCCTGCTGGGTAAAGGAGGGGACATCGAAGCCCAGTCTGCGAGAACCCAGTCTGAGAGAACAAAACACACAATATTGTTTCTCTGGACAATATTGCAAAACATGTTGATGCTCCTCTTAGTATCACTGAAGGTCTTACATGTGTTGACTCATACTGCTTTTTGTATTCCTTTGCATGGGTGAACTGGATGTATGCCACACACCACTAATTTGAGCTGAAGTGAAAGAGGTGGCTGCCGCTGTGGTCCATGTTGTGTCTACAACCGTCTCCACACTGACAGGAAAAGACAAGCATTGCTGTGAAGGATCCTACCCAATCCAAATGCTTCAAATGGCACAATTACATAAGAGGCTGTCTGTTTGACAGGTGTTTATCAAACGGAAACCACCAGAACACTATCCCTCACAAGATAGATTTAAAAAAGTGAATCAAGTGATTGTTTGATTGAAACAGTTTTATCATAAACTAATGATAATATTTTGTTAACCTTTTCTGATATGATTTTATGAATCCTTACTGCTGTCTTTAGGTTAGTCTTGTCTGACACAAACACTTGTTGCTGAATGCATTGCTAATACCGCCCCCAAAACATTGCCATTCCCATGCTGTTTCATTATGTGTATCTTCTCATTAATCATTTACATAAACGTCTGTGTGTGCTACGTTGTGGTATTTATTTCCTATGTTGATAGTTGCAATGGTCAAAATAACAAGCATTACAAATGTATTTATACATTTTATTGATTTGATTTTGGTCTCGGTGCCAATTCCCACATAAGTTGTGTACTCTGCAAGGTTCTCTGTATAATATTACTTGTTGATGAAAAGGAAATCATATGATGTAAAATATATATATACTGTATGTAGCTGTAGAGGGATAAGTGTGGACCTATGCCACCCCAGGTTTAAACAAGAGAATGGGGAACACTGCCTATTAATACAGTACAATACAGGTTTGTAAATCTGGTGGGAGCTCCCAATGTTTAACCAGGGAAGAGGCTGAGACTAGAATAACTTTGTGGAATTTATTTCAAAGGTAGAGTCAGTGATATGACATAGATGCAGGCACAGATGCGTCCGTTCTGTTCAGAGGCAACTTAACATGAGTTGGGCTAAAACAAACAAAGGGGTGGGTTAACAGCATGACCTTGTGTTTAATGTATATCTGTGCCTTGACAATTAATTTTATGACATTACATTTACATTTTACATTTTTAGTCATTTAGCAGACGCTCTTATCCAGAGTGCATACATAATAAAAAATAAATAATAAAAAATCATACTGGCACCGAGAACAAAATCAGCCAGGGTTGTGGGTTCGATTCCCCCTGGGGTTTTATATTACTATTGAAATAAAATATAGATAAATAAAACATGCATGACAAATCGTGGGACTCTTATGTTGAAATTGGAACTCGCAGGACTTTTATATTGGCATGGCAAATTCAGGGACTTTTAATTTGAAATGGGAGTTGTAGGATTTATTTTGGCATGACAAATCGAGGGACTCTTATTTTGAAATCAGAAATCTCAGGATTTATTTTGGCATGACAAATTGAGGGACTGTTATTTTGAAATCGGAAATCACAGGACTATTTTTGCATGACATTTAGGGGGACTCTTATTTTGAAGTGTGCTACATCCAGCTCATTGTTACATCCTGCTAGATGCTGGATGTAACTGCCAAATGCTGGATGTAACTGCGGGATGCTAGATGTAACGCTCAGCCGGATGCTGGATGTAACCCTGTGCCAGATGCAGGATGTCTGAGCTGGATGTAACTCTCAGCCGGATGCTGGATGTAACTCTGTGCCGGATGCTGGATGTAACTCTGAGCCGGATGCTATGCAGGATGTTGTAACTATGAGCTGGATGCTATACTGGATGTAACGTCAAAGGATCCAGCTCGGAGTTACAGCCCCTACTGGTATAGCCCTGCCCCTTCTCATGAGAACAGTTTACACTAGTTACCACAGCCACAAATTCAAAATGGTCTATATCGTAACAATGAATGAAAACAAAAATGTGCTTTTTTGGTCTTAATTTAACGTTAGCAGTGTGGTTAAGGTTAGGGTTAGGTTTAAAATCAGATTTTAAGAAGATAAATAGTAGAAATAGGCGGGGGTTATGACTTTGTCGCTGTGGTAACAAGCGACGACCCGTGAGAACCAGTGAATGGAGGACACAACAGACAGAGTGCGCGTGTATTTGAGCGACGTGAGCTAGGGGAGGGAGAAAAGAGAGAGAGACAGCCGCCTTCAAAAATGGCGTCTTCCGAGGAAAATGACAAAAAATATTAAAAACGAGGCCTACTTTTCGTCTTCATTGATTTTCGGAATTTAGATTATGGTTTCCAGACATCGCGATATCGTCGTCATCATTATTTTCTAATGTAAAAAAGAGAAGGAATGGTAGAAGGCTATATAAATAGCAACCCAGTTTTATTTTGATGCGTCGACAGGGCTAGCTAGCTATATACTAGTAGCATCTGCTAGCTCACAACAATTTCAGAATGGGAAGGCATTTTGCATGCTAAAGAAATCACAATTACTGTTATATGATAACTTATCTTTTGATAATGTTTGTAACAGTCGTGAGGTATCGATGGTAATCTTTTCAGTCGCGGATCGCGGCATTTACTCTAGTTAAAATAAAGGGGATGAGATACGGCAGGAAAGGATGCGTTTGATCAAATGTTTCTCTGCAATTTATCGATAATTTATCATGATCGTGCATAGCGTCGTTGCAATTTGGCAGTTGTGGAAATGATATTTGGAGAAAGTGTAGGACAGGAGAGACTGATTATTGGAGGTGGTTGGAGTACACCCCCAGACCCCCCTTTTTTGTCCAGTTTTCTCCTCCCCTCCATTTCTCTTTCAATATGCTGTTTTCCAATCCAGAGGATTTGCTTATGAAACGGGGTAAATAGTCTAAAATCGATCACGGGGAAGACGGATACCCCAATTCTGTGAAAATTCCTACTACTCGGTGCTTTCGTCCTTGTCACACATTTTTCATAAATGCAAAATGGATAGAAATTACCCGGGAACAGGGTTCGGTGATTTGGGCGCAGGAGCGGGATGGAGTTATGAGAGATCGGCGAAAGCAAGGTAAGCATTTGATCCAGTCCAGATAATGTTTGCACACTAGTTAATACATTGCATTCTCTTTTCTTTAATGTAATCGATTGGTCGTTAATTTGGTACATTGACGTCGATCTGTAACCTGCCTATAGGCAGCATCGCGTTGTCATCCAGGTTTTTGCATGTTGTTACTAGTATTATAAATGGAATGGAGAAAGACGTGTGGGGGTGGTGGGACGAGCTAGCAGGGCTCTTGAAAATGCATAGAATGCGATTGACAGACTAAATGTATGGTTTTAGGTAGACGGAGGGGGAGGGAACGAGAGTAAAGAGGGGGATGGGTTGGAGAATATGTCTGGACCATTAGAATAATTATAGTAGTATGTCCTTTTAGAATAGTTTGACACATTGACTGTAAAAAAATAGTCCATATTTTCGTCATAGGTAAATGCACATGAGGCTATTGCATTGGAAGGAAAGTGCCATTACAATGCCCAATTTGTATCTTTCCAGTTTTTCCTTCTGTGACATTGCATGACACATTTGTTTCACATAGTAACTGAGATACCTCCTCCTGTGATGTATCAAAGTTGTTACAATGTAACATTTTGCTGGCAAGTGATTAGCGCGAGATGCCAGTGGTCGAATGTTGGCGACTCGTGCTATGAAGAATGATAATGATTTATAGTCAACACATTGGCTCCTAAAATAACACCACAACTCTAGGTTGTTGTGTATAATTAAATTACAATGCATTACACCCAATCTTGATAGGATATCAAATATATTCGGTAGCTAAGTCTTTATTTCGATGTATCAGTGTTTTCAACATATTGCCATCAAGCCATATCTACCATGATTTGGTTTGCTAGCTAGTAGGCTACCTAGCTAATGATAAAAGCTAGCATGGTACATGGTCGGATCATGGCTGTTTAGTTGGCTGAGGCAGCATACCGTATATACCATCTACTGGGGTATTTGGAGATAGCCACGTCATGGTTTTTCAATACTGTCAATACCGTTGAAACTATTTATTTGAAGTTGAAATGCATTTTAATATTTGTAGCTACTTTTTAAGTAAATACCTGCAGTCAACTTGTGCAATACGTCAGGAGATAAAGCAGATCGAGTTCTTCATTTCACATTATGAAGCTTACCATAGTTCACCAGAGCCAGTCACGTGTTTGTTTGTAAATAACACAACGAGAGAAAGCGAGAGTCCAGCTGTGTATTGACAGGGGTCGCGTTTTATATTGAAACTCAAGTCTTTCTTTGCTTCAATAGAATGATCAGGGACGTGCAACTATAATTTTACTTAACGGAAAATACATTAGTGCAAGACATTAGGCAGAAAATGGCATCATTCGCATTAGATGGCAACAGGAGTGCAACGCTATTTGGCTGGCAGCCACACCAGTACATTAGCTTACAATGAAAAATGTCGTTTTTGCAAAAAATATACATGGCCATCATGTTTATCATAAAGAATGTAGCCAGCTACATTTCCTAATGTTTTGCTTAAAGTTAATCTTTAAATGTACCGGAGAAAAGTAGGCTGGCTACACCAAGAAAAGTACCAGAGAAAAGTAGCTACACATCAGTCAGAGCGCTGTCTGCTGATAGAATGCCCTTTTGTGAATTCTTATCTGAGTGGAGAATTACAAATGAAGCACAAATTTAGTCTGAAGCTGAGCAGAAATTACAAGAAGCATTTTAGATCTCTGTTTACAAAATGCAGCATGATATTTCTTGTGCATTTTATAATTAATTCCTGCGTGGAAAAATGCAGAATTATGTGTTAACGCGACCCCTAAGATATCTAAGCAAGTGGCTGAATTAATAAGTTGACGGGGCATCATATAGTGTTCTCAAACACAGCAGAAAGCGAACTCATCCAAAGGGCTTTGACATCTGAACAGCTGCCACTGCTTGATTTCCTTGAGTTTTTTCTCCTCTGTGTTCTTGGCCAGCAGGCAGTCCCGTTGCCGTAGCGACTCCAAACTCCACACAGACACATGCTGCTTTAGCGCCAGTACTGCTCTTTCTTCAGACAAGCATGTGTCAAAACTTTGTTAATTTGCACAATGTCTCTCGTGCACGTTCGCTTGTAAATATCCAAACTCACCAACGATGACATTCGGTAGCTCCTACCTATACAGTACCAGTCAAACGTTTGGACACACCTACTCATTCCATGGGTTCTTTATTTGTACTATTTTCTACATTGTAGAATAATAGTGAAGACATCAAAACTATGAAATAACACATGGAATCATGTAGTAACCAAAAGTGTTAAACAAATCAAAATATATTTGAGATTCTTCAAAGTAGCCACCCTTTGCCTTGATGACAGGATTGCCTGTCTTTGCAACTTGTTTATTTTCATTTGCGCTCATTAGCATATTTAGCTAGCAGCCTCCATTCGCTATTACTTGTGCAGATTTTGCTAGTATTCTGGTAATAGACACCCAATGGGCGTTTGTGTTTTTTTGGCTCCCCCTTGTGTACTAAACCGGTAATACAGTAAATCCCGGGATGGGAGAAGTATTGGTATGACTATATGAAAATCTGGATACCGCCCAACCCTTTAGCTAGCTATCTGCTTTAGTTTTTGAAATGATCTATCTCTGTCAACAGAGGAGCTTGTTTTTACATATTGTTTATATTTATTCCTTCTGAACACATTTCCGGTTGTTGGCAATGTCAATTCTTGCAATATTTTTCAAAAAACTTTTTTTTCGCTAGCTGGACAGGCACACGCCGCTGAATAATAAACTGTAAACCAATCAAAACTTGATCACGTCTGCCAATCACGTAATCTGCATCTTAGGTGCCAACCAAGTGCTATTCACCAAGCATGGGCTGATTATCTCACTTATGAGAAACATCCTACTGCAGTTTGAACTAGCCCTACCGTCACTATTTAGACATTGGGACCACATATGCATTTGCCTGTTGTGTTTTTGTTGTGGGTTTTGTCTTACGTTGTAGTGCATTTTAGAGTTGAAGAACACCAACAACAGATAAACGCGCTTGTTTGAGCATCTTAAAGACCAAATTCAATGTAGAATCAGTTTAACAGGTGACCAACTGATTATTTTACTATTGTAACATGCAGTGGGGAGAATTCTATTGTCCCCGTCAGGAGCCCAGGCTTTTGCCATAGATGGTAGAGTTCTCGTCTCTGGACCACACAAGCTTTAGATTGCATTCTGTTAAGGCCCTTGTCTCTCTCTACATCTGTCAGCTACGTTGGTGACCAGGGTGGGAGTCTTTCGATACGCCTATGGGGCCTGGGCACACACATGCTCATAGATATAAGGGGGAATACTGAAGCATGCGTTGATGACAGTTCTACAGTCTCCATCAGATTCCCAGGCTTTTGGTATAGATGGTAACGCTCTTGTTTCTGAACTGCAACATTGTAATATTGTGCCCTCCATGGCACTAAATATACATTGATTGGTAGGTTACACTATATTTAGATACTTCTGCCTGAGACAATACTGCTGAACCTCTTTGTTATAGTGATCTTTGTTCGAATGTATATGCATGAAACGTACATTATGGAAAGCATGTCTCGCATTCAATCCTAGTTAGTAGAATAATGAATGGATTTGGCACAGTCAACTTTTAGAAGATTAGTAGGAAAGGTAATCATGTAGACTACCTAAGTACAGTGCATTTGGAAAGTATTCAGACACCTTGAACCTATCCACTTTGTTACGTTACAGCCTTATTCTAAAATTGATTATATTGTTTTTTTCCCCTCATCAATCTACACACAATACCCCATAATGACAAAGCAAAAACATGTTTTTAGATTTTTTTGCAAATGTATTACGAAAAAAGATTCACATTTACATAAGTATTCAGATCCTTTACTCAGTAATTTGTTGAAGCACCTTTGGCAGTGATTACAGCCTTGAGTCTAATTGGGTATGATGCAACAACCTTGGCACACCTGTATTTGGGGAGTTTCTCCCATTCTCTGCAGATCCTCTCAAGCTCTGTCAGGTTGGATGGGAGTGTCGCTGCACAGCTATTTTCAGGTCTCTCCAGAGAGGTTCTGGCTGGGCCACTAAAGGACATTCAGAGACTTGTCCCGAAGCCACTCCTGCCTTGTCTTGGCTGTGTGCTTAGGGTCGTTGTCCTGTTAGAAGGTGAACCTTCGCCCCCAGTCTGAGGTCCTGAGCGTTCTGGAGTAGGTTTTCATCAAGGGTCTCTCTGTACTTTGCTCCGTTCATCTTTCCGTTGATCCTGACTAGTCTCCCAGTCCCTGTCGCTGAAAAACATCCCCACAGCATGACGCTGCCACCTCCATGCTTCATCGTAGGGATGGTGCCAGGTTTCCTCCAGACTTGGCATTCAGGCCAAAGAGTTCAATCTTGGTTTAATCAGAACAGATAATCTTGTAGTCCTTTAGGTGCCTTTTGGCAAACTCCAAGCGTCCTTTTACTGAAGAGTGGCTTCCGTCTGGCCACTCTACCATAAAGGCCTGATTGGTGGAGTGCTGCAGAGATGGTTGTCCTTCTGGAAGGTTCTCCCATCTCCACAGAGGAACTCTGGAGCTTTGTCAGAGTGACCATCGGGTTCTTGGTCACGCCGATTGCTCAGTTTGGCCGGGCAGCCAGCTCTAGAAAGAGTCTTGGTGGTTCCAAACTTCTTCCATTTAAGAATGGTGGAGGCGACTGTGTTGTTGGGGACCTTTCAATGCTGCAAAAAAATTTTGGTACCCTTCCCCAGAGCTGTACCTCAACACAATCCTGTCTCTGAGTTCTACTGACAATTCCTTCATCCTCATGGCTTTGTTTTTGCTCTGACATGCACTGTCAACTGTGGGACCTTATGTTGACAGGTCTGTGCCTTTCCAAATCATGTCCAATCAATTGAATTTACCACAGGTGGACTCCAATCAAGTTGTAGAAACATCTCAAGGATGATCATTGGAAACGGGATGCACCTGAGCTCAATTTCGAGTCTCATAGCAAAGGGTCTGAATACTTATGTAAATAAGGTATTTCTGTTTTATTTTTTTATACATTTCCAACAATTTCTAGAAACCTGTTTTCGCTTTTTTATTATGGGGTATTGGGTGTAGATTAATGAGGGGGAAAAAATGTATTTAATATTTTTTTTAGAAAAAGGCTGTAACGTAACAAAGTGGAAAAAGGGAAGGGGTCTGAATACTTTCCGTATGCACTGTAGACCTACACTATGCAACCCTGCATATAGCAAGCTCAGTCACGGTTTCTGTTGTCTGATTGCTGTGCTGATCTCTGCAACGTGGATAGATGGAGTTCACCACATAATGCTGCAAATGAAGAAACATATCGAAATTGAGACGGTATAACATTTTTGAGATACTATCAAATTATATTTTGGGGTGGTGGTAATGGGCTTCCATACTGTAAGTACAGGCATAAAGTACTGTGTTGGTAAAATATCACAGACAGGAATTGTAAATGAAGTCTACAGCAGGCTTTAAGATGGCAATCATATTTTAGTATGTATTCTGAGTTGATTTTGTCTAATCTATAGTCTGATATTCTAAATTCTTACAATGTGAAGAATGGTGACCTACAGTAATTCTATTAGGATGGAGATGTGCTAAATTGACTTACACATCTGAATAACTTTTAATAAGATCGCAAAGTTTTCTGAAGAGGGTGTGCTGTCATGACATTCAAACCAAACAATCCTCTTAGTGTATTTATTTAGTAGGCCTATTTACATAGGATTTGCATCTGTTTCAATTTCACGGCCTCTCCCAGAGGGTACATTTTGGACAAAAGTTTATGAAGATGAAGACAATTGGACTTCAACAGTTGAATAAATTACCTCTTCTCCTCCCTAGTCTCGTCTATGGAAGTTCCAGATCATCACACCCTGAGTCGGAGCTTCTCCATCGACAAGCCTACGGCACTCCCCACCCTCTGCAGGGCTATGCCACCAATCACCACCCGGGCAGCTCTGGCCAAGGCGGGGCTTGGGGAGCAGGTCGGAGTTTGGGTGAGAGACATGTCACACACCTTATAATTTTGTCACCACAGTACAGTGCCCTCGGGATGATATGACTGGCAGTGCTGATGGCACTAAGGTTGCAGTCACTGAAAAATGTATTTTCAATGGAAACCCCTTTTTGTGTGGGGGGAAAAACCTGTATTTTACCTGGTAACATATAGGGCCAAATTAGATTTATAACATCTGTTAGGCCTACGTTTTGTATTTTGGTGTAATGGACACTCCTTGACCTATTCAGCCCAGTGATGCAATTTTATCACATACAGTGGCTTGTGAAAGTATTCACCCCGCTTGGCATTTTTCCTATTTTGTTGCCTTACAACCTGGAATTGAAATGGATTTTTAGCGGGTTTGTATCATTTGATTTACACAACATGCCTACCACTTTGAAGATGCAAAATATTTTTGTGTGTGAAACAAACAAGAAATAAGACAAAAAAAGAACTTGAACGTGCATAATTATTCACCCCATGAAGTCAATACTTTGTAGAGCCACCTTTTACAGCAATTACAGCTGCAAGTCTCTTGTGGTATGTCTCTATAAGCTTGGCACATCTAGCCACTGGGATTTTTGCCCATTCTTCAAGGCAAAACTGCTCCAGCGCCTTCAAGTTGGATGGGTTCCGCTGGTGTACAGCAATCTTTAAGTCATACCACAGATTCTCAATTGGATTGAGGTCTGGGCTTTGACTAGGCCATTCCAAGACATTTAAATGTTTCCCGTTAAACCACTGAAGTGTTGCTTTAGCAGTATGCTTAGGGTAATTGCCCTGCTGGAAGGTGAACCTCCGTCCCAGTCTCAAATCTCTGGAAGACTGAAACAGGTTTCCCTCAAGAATTTCCCTGTATTTAGCGCCATCCATCATTCCTTCAATTCTGACCAGTTTCCCAGTCCCTGCCGATGGAAAAATGGATGGTGTTCTCGGGGTGATGAGAGGTGTTGGGTTTGCGCCAGACATAGCGCTTTCCTTGATAGCCAACAAGCTCCATTTTTGTCTCATCTGACCAGAGTACCTTCTTCCATATGTTTGGGGAGTCTCCCACATGGCTGTTGGCGAACACCACACGTGTTTGCTTATTTTTTTTCTTTAAGCAATGGCTTTTTTCTAGCCACTCTTCTGTAAAGCCCAGCTCTGTGGAGTGTACGGCTTAAAGTGGTCCTATGGACAGATACACCAGTCTCCGCTGTGGAGCTTTGCAGCTCCTTCAGTGTTATCTTTGGTCTCTTTGTTGCCTCTGATTAATGCCCTCCTTGCCTGGTCCGTGAGTTTTGGTGGGCGGCCCTCTCTTGGCAGGTTTGTTGTGGTGCCATATTATTTAAATTTTTTAATAATGGATTTAATGGTGCTCGGTGGGATGTTCAAAGTTTCAGATGTTTTTTTATAACCCAACCCTGATCTGTACTTCTCCACAACTTTGTCCCTGACCTGTTTGGAGAGCTCCTTGGTCTTCATGGTGCTGCTTGCTTGGTGGTGCCCCTTGCTTAGTGGTGTTGCAGACTCTGGGGCTTTTCAGAACATGTGTATATATACTGAGATCATGTGACAGATCATGTGACACTTAGATTACACACAGGTGGACTTTATTTAACTAACTTCTTCTGAAGGTAATTGGTTGCACCAGATCTTATTTAGGGGCTTCGTAGCAAAGGGGGTGAATACATATGCACGCACCGCTATTCCGTTATTAATATTTTAGAATGATTTGAAACAAGTTATTTTTTTCACTTCACCGATTTGGACTATTTTGTGTGTGTCCATTACCTGAAATCCAAATAAAAATAAATTTAAATTCCAGGTTATAATGCAACAAAATAGGATAAACGCCAAGGGGAATGAATACTTTTGCAAGGCATTGTAGATATAGTTATCTCTCTAAATGTCCTGTTGAGTTTGCATAATCTGTCAAAAGGGACATGGTCGTCACGGTTTACTCATGGTTGTATTTGTTGTCCCATCAGGTCTCTCTGGACTATTTGAAACCGGCCTGCACCATGCCAGCCCCTCTGGCCCAGACGCTTCGGTGATGAACCTGATCTCCGCTCTGGAATCCCAGCGGGGTCCCCAGGCTCCCCCCTCTGCCTCCTCCCTCCTCTCCCAGTTCCGCACGCCGTCCTGGCAGACAGGTGAGCATGTGACCAGACCTGTGTTGACATTCAAAACGGGTTCGCAAAAGTCGATATGACATTTCCAACGCCTCACATGTTCTATCAAATTGTTATTCCTCTCGCATGTCCGCATTGTTGGTGAGATTATGTTGGTACATTTGCATATTGGATTCTTTTAGCCTTTTACATGTTAAGGGAGGGTGGGAGTACAATTATTTAGTCATGCTTGTCAGTTTTTTTCTGTTGACAGATTGACGGGTTTTGAATAATCGTCGTCTTGTCTCTCCATCTGGCCCTGACAGCAATACACACCCCGGCCCCTGCTGAGCTCTTCATCTCCGGGCCCCTCCCCGGCTCGGGCTCCTTCACCTCTTCCTCGGCCCTGTCGGCCTATCAGCACCCGGCCTCCTTCTCCAGCCGCTCCTTCCCCACCCTCCAGGACACGCCCACGTTCAACTCCACCTCCAATGGACTCCTCTCCCCCCACGACCCTCTGTTGCACATCAAGGGTCCCTCTCAGTCCAGCCTGGGCTTTGACCGCCTCCTATCCTCCCAGGGCGCCGCCACAGCCTACCGGGGCGGCCAGGATCCCACAGGTGCCTCGTCGGCCCAGGCCTCATCAGCGCGGCACCTCCAGTCCCACCAGTTCAACCTGCTGTCCTCTCAGCTGCAGGACCAGTCCTCCCAGTTGTACAATGCCTCAGTGTTCTCCTCGGCCCAGGCTCAGGTGCAAGCCCAGGCTCAGGCCCAGTCTAACTCGATCCAAGAGAGGGCTGTGCCTCGGCAGGACAGTGTGATCAAGCACTACCAGCGGCCCACGCCGTCCCAGTCCCAGCTCTCCTCCTCGGCGGCCCACTCCCTGCAGCACTACCTCAGTTGCGGCGGGGCTGGGTACCAGCAGATCGCCCACCACAGGCAGGCCGGCCTCTCTTGCAGCCCCCTGGGTGACCAGAGCCCCTCCTCAGACCACAAGGCCTCTTCCCGGACGGAACAGGTGTACCGGCCCATCATCCAGCCCCCCTACTCGATCTCCACCCCTTCTTCAGCAGCAGGGAAGGGCGCCAAGAGCAACTCCAGCAGCGGCTACTCCTCGGCCAACTCGGCATCCTCCTCCCGCACCCCTCACACGCCCCCTTCTGCGTCCTCCAGCTCTTCAACAACCTCCTCTTCCTCCTCTGCCTCGGGAGCCCACCCCTCCAACTCACTCCCCCCCTCCAGCTCCAGCTCGGCCCCCTCTAGACAGCAGCCTCTCCCTCAGAGCACTCCAGCTCCCCAGCAGCAGCCCCCTCCTACCTCATCCACATCTGCCCAGCAACCTTTAACTAAGCACAGCCTCTCGGGCTACGGCTCACCCGTGCCCCCAGTGAAAACCCCCGCTGCCGCCCTCACAGGCCAAACCCCGCCACAACAGCAGAACCAGTCATACTCGCCCAGCCAGCCCCCTCCCTCCCACCTCCCCCAGTCGTATGGTGGCTTCAGCTCCCCTCAGGCCCAGGACCTGAGCTCAGCCGGGGGAAGAAAAGGCTACGGGAGCCTGGGAGGGCGAAGCCAGTTGTACTCGGCGGATGTGGTCTACGGGGCTGACTCTGCCTATGGGTCCCTCCCATCCTCTCTGGGCGGCGCGGGATGTCCATCGCTAGGTTACGGCCCAGGCCACTCCCCCGCCCTTTTACAGTCGAGCGGGTCGTCGGGGGGCGGAACCTCAGGAGGCGGTGGTAGCAGCAGCGCAGTAAGCGGGAACTCCGGCTCAGGAGGAGCCGGGAGCAGTATGGCCAATGAGAGAGGAGGTGGTGCCGGAGGAGGGTCTTACCATATCCCTGAGTCTAGCCCCTCCCCGTCGGCCAACTCTGGGATCATCCGTCCAGGGTTGCACTCCCCCGCCCCTGCCTGCCCCACACAGTCCCCGGGAGGAACGGGCTCCAACAAATACATCTCCTCGGTCCTCTCCCCCACTTTCATGTCCTCCCCTCAGGGCTACCCCGACAGCAGAGCCCCCCCCGACACCAGAGGCCCCCGGTCCCAGCCCCAGTCCTACCATCCCACCTCCAACAAAACCAAGTCCGACCCCAGCAGTATGCTAGGTGTGGGCTCCCAGAGGTCTCAAGAGGACGTGGATGACGATGACGACTTCTTGATCCAGCACCTTCTCCAAGCCCAGGCCAGTCCCACACCCCAGGCATCCCACCACCACTCCCAGCAGCAACAACCTCAACAGAAGGTCCAACAACAGGCACCTCTGCAGCCTGTCCCCTCTACCACGGACACCGGCAAAGGGCTATTGTCCTACGAGCTGGGCAAGAGCTCTGAGGAGAGGTACCACCTCCAGAGCGTCATCCGCACCCACAGCGCCACCTCCAGCGCCGGTGCCGGATCGGGAGGGGCGGTCACGGGCCTAGACAGCCAGCTGGAGATGTCTCTCAAGAAACAGCAACATCCACAACAGCAACAACAACCAAGGAATGACAGCGAAGGCGGTGGCAGGAGTGGTGGTGGAGGAGGAAGAGGAGGCGCCGAGCAAAGCCACCCCCACTTACACCACCACGACTCCCTGGGGTCGGTGGTGCACTACGGCCGGGGCGACCCGTACTCCCAGCACTCCCTGGGCCCCCAACACTCCCACCCGCAGCAGCACGCCGCCTCCCACACCCACCTTCAGTCCCACACTCACATGGAGCTGCAGAAGAATCCACAAGAGCGCTCAGAGCTGGTGTACCCACGCAAGACCCCTGAGGTCCAGCAGCAGCACTCTCAATCCTCTGCCTCCCTCATGGATTCCCCCACGGACCAGTCCCACCAGCCGCCCCACCTGCTCCAGTCTGTGCTGTCTCACACCACTCGCAACAAGATGGAGCCCCATCAGCAGCAGCATTCAGTGAGCCAACAACAAGCTATGATGGATGGAGCTGGAGGGAGAATGGGCGCTGGCAAACACCAGTCTCAGACCCAGCAGGCCTCCCAGCTTCAGCTACAACTCCAGTCCCAGGCTTTGGAGGTCACAGCGGCGGCCGCTCACTACAACCACGGACCTCCTCGGCAGGACCAGAGCCAGTCCAAGCAACAACAGCAAAGCTCGGTGGTGTCCTCCCTGGACATGCTGGAGTGCTCGCTCTCCCAGACATCCAGTGCGGACGGAGGGGGAGTGGAGGAGAGGAGAGGAGGCGGAGGAGGTGGTGGAGGAGGGGGAAGAGGCGGCGGGAGCGCAGAGTGCCACAGGCAGCAGCAGCAAGAGCAGCAGAGGCTCTCGGCCCATCACCCTCAACACTCCGCCTCGGAGCTCCACTCGTTCCTCTCTGAGCCCGACATGGGCTTATCTGCCCCTTTGCACGTGCACCACCTCCCCCAACGCCATCAACATCCCAACTCCCACCACCAGCAAAGCCACTCGGTGCACCACCCCCACTCCCATGGCCACGCTCACCCCCAGTCTCACACTCACCCTCAGCCCCATCCCTCCACCCACTCCCAGCAACAGGAGTCCCAGTCCCACCCGTCCCAGCTCACCCCAGGCCAGCAGGTCCAAATGGACCAGCATCAGCGCACCGAGCAGCACCCGTTCGACACGGTCAGCCCTGTGGAGAAAAGCTGTGGCCAGCGCCAGCAGAGCCAGAACCGCTTTGTCACGCTCACCTCTATCTGCTTCCCGGACTCGCTCCTGCAGGACGAGGACCGCTCCTTCTTCCCTGGCATGGAGGACATGTTCTGCTCAGACGACTTCTCCAAGTCGAGCTGTGCCGGAGAAGGCGCAGGCCCAGGGCAGGAGGAGATGAACCAGGAGGGACCAGGAGGGGGCCATGAGGAGCCCATGAAGGCTAATTCAGGAGGAGGAAGTGGAGGGGGAAGCGGAGGAGCCGGGTACGAAATGCTGGGCCACCACGGCGGCGACCAGGGATATGGGCAGTACTGCCACGGGCTTTCCGAGTCCGGAAACCGCACCCTGGACCTGGACTCTCTCAAGACACATGAGCTGCCCTCCACCGTTAACACGGCGCAGCTGGGCCTGATCCAGTCCTCAGGTTCAGGCGCGTGCACCGGTGGAGCTGGCGCCGGCCCCGGAGGCCTCACCTCGCCCATCTTCTGCTCGTCGCGCCCCAAGAAGCTCCTCAAGTCGAGCTCGTTCCACCTGCTCAAGGAGCGCCGAGACCCCAACACACTGCCCAAAAAGAGCTACGCGCAGGAGTATGAGTTTGAGGATGATGAGGACAAGGACAACCAGCCGGCGGACATCCGTCTGAACAGCCGCCGGCTCCCTGACCTCCTCCCCGACCTGGTCTCCAGCTGCCGTAAAACAGGAGGTGGAGGTGGGGCCGGAGGAGGAGGCACGCTCAGCCCCCTCATGGGCGACCTCGACTACTACCACTCGTCCGGCTACCCCTCCCTCTGCCCCCCTCCCCAGCTCCTGCCGCAGGACGGGCCCAAGAAGAGAGGCCGCAAGCCCACCAAGCCAAAGAGAGCAGGGCCTCCTAGGCCCAGGGGTAGGCCTCGCATTCGCCCGCATCCTGAGCAGCACGCGCCCCGCGGAATGATGGGCGGTGAGATGGGAGAAGGAACCGAAGCAGGAAGGGGGTATGGAGGAGGAATTGAGGGCAAACGGAGCAGGGGCCGTGGCGGCGGAGGCCGAGGGAGAGGGAGGAGAGACGACATGTTCATGGAGATAACTGGGAAGGAGCAGATGCAGCAACACCACCTTAATCGGCAACAGCATCAACTCCACCACCAGGCTCCACAGCATCAGGAGCCCATACCACATCTCAAGGTGAGTGTGGATACATTGAATTGAACTGAACTTTATTCATTCCCAGGGGGAAATGTTGATATCATTGCAGGCTTATACTTAAAGGGACATTACACTTTTAAATCAAAGTTTGTCAAACGATTTCATATCTCTAAAGTAGTCTAATGTCAAGATTAAACTACATCCCATATACCTGGATCTACACAACTGATGACATGGGATGTGAACTCATGATGACATGGGATGCGAACTCATGATGACATGGGATGCGATCGCATTCATTTTGGAGTGTAATGTTCCTTTAAGGTGGCGGGAATAGCAAAGTTTACTGTACTGTACTCTATTGGCGTTTTAACCTAACTTTTCTCCTATTTTTTCTGTCTTAGATCAAACTGCCCATCGGCTCCATGTCCTCTTCCGAAGTCCTGCTGAGGACAGACTCTCTGTCCGGCACGGACCCCGCTCTGTCAGACGGCTCGGTAGGGTCTGCTCCCTCCCTTGGCCTGAGTCCTGGACCCCTGTGCGGAGGGGCAGACTCCAACAGGACCCAGGACAAGAGCAAGCAGAAGATCCAGATACAGAGTGACGGAGTGGATGGCGAGGGGATGGATGGAAGGGTAAGGGACGATTTTAGACTTTGTTTGGCCACTCAATCAGTCAGCATTAATGGTTAATCTTGTGTTGTATGTGACAAAATGTTAGCCTTAGCTTGTAAAATTAAGAGGGAAACCACTATTTCCCTCTCTCATTAACTATTTTCTCTCGCTCTCTCTATTCCCCCCCGAACCTCTCCCTCTCTGTCTTTCTCTCAGAGGGATGAGAAAGCGGGCTGCATGGCCTCCTTCATGGACTTCCTCAAGTCGGGAAAGAGACCTCCGGGCTTGGAAATGCCCCTGGGAATGGAATCAGGAAATGGTGACGCCTCCCCTCTCAAATCTGAAGGGCTCCGTCCCTTGTCCCCAGCACCCCCTCCAACACTGCCCCCACCTTCTTTCGGCGAGGGCAAGGGCAACAGCGGCCTGGGGGGCTGCCCCAGCCCCTGCAAGCGCACCCTGGACGACGAGCTGAAGAGGAACCTGGAGACGCTGCCCTCGTTCTCCTCAGACGAGGAGGATTCGGTGGGCAAGAACCAAGACCTGCAGAAAAGCATCTCCTCGGCCATCTCGGCTCTCTACGACACGCCGCAGCTGGCCTCGCTCCAGCCGCCCCCGCCTTCTCCCCCATCCCAGTCCCAAGACCAACCCAGCCATGACCCACTCACACCGAGCGCCCTGCAGCCGCCCGCCCTCAGCCCCCAACTCCCCTCACACAACCCTCACACCCAGCCCCAGGCAGCCGAGCCGGCCGTACTACAGCGAGAGGACCAGGAGATGGAGGAGAATGATGAGGAGGAAGAGAGGAAGATGCGAGGAGGGGGTGATGATGAGAGTGAAGTGAATGATATTGAAGAAGAGGAGCCAGAGTTGGAGATACTTGGTGCACCCAGATTGGAAGGTAAGGGAAATACCGGACCGATACAGATCATATTGATTTATATTTTGTTGTCGATGATTGCCAATGCCAGTATGGCAAAAGGAGAATAAATATTTAGTCCTTGTGAGAATCGAGATTAAGGGATTGTTATCAGCAACTTTGTCGTATTTGTACGACAAGGTTTTAATAAAAGTTACTGCAGCAGCAAATATATGATTTATATATACAGTGGGGGAAAAAAGTATTTAGTCAGCCACCAATTGTGCAAGTTCTCCCACTTCAAAAGATGAGAGGCCTGTAATTTTCATCATAGGTACACGTCAACTATGACAGACAAAATGAGATTTTTTTTTCTCCAGAAAATCACATTGTAGGATTTTTAATGAATTTATTTGCAAATTATGGTGGAAAATAAGTATTTGGTCATCTACAAACAAGCAAGATTTCTGGCTCTCACAGACCTGTAACTTCTTCTTTAAGAGGCTCCTCTGTCCTCCACTCGTTACTTGTATTAATGGCACCTGTTTGAACTTGTTATCAGTATAAAAGACACCTGTCCACAACCTCAAACAGTCACACTCCAAACTCCACTATGGCCAAGACCAAAGAGCTGTCAAAGGACACCAGAAACAAAATTGTAGACCTGCACCAGGCTGGGAAGACTGAATCTGTAATAGGTAAGCAGCTTGGTTTGAAGACATCAACTGTGGGAGCAATTATTAGGAAATGGAAGACATACAAGACCACTGATAATCTCCCTCGATCTGGGGCTCCACGCAAGATCTCACCCCGTGGGGTCAAAATGATCACAAGTGAATGGACCTAGTGAATGACCTGCAGAGAGCTGGGACCAAAGTAACAAAGCCTACCATCAGTAACACACTACGCCGCCAGGGACTCAAATCCTGCAGTGCCAGACGTGTCCCCCTGCTTAAGCCAGTACATGTCCAGGCCCGTCTGAAGTTTGCTAGAGTGCATTTGGATGATCCAGAAGAGGATTGGGAGAATGTCATATGGTCAGATGAAACCAAAATAGAACTTTTTGGTAAAAACTCAACTCGTCGTGTTTGGAGGACAAAGAATGCTGAGTTGCATCCAAAGAACACCATACCTACTGTGAAGCATGGGGGTGGAAACATCATGCTTTGGGGCTGTTTTTCTGCAAAGGGACCAGGACGACTGATCTGTGTAAAGGAAAGAATGAATGGGGCCATGTATCGTGAGATTTTGAGTGAAAACCTCCTTCCATCAGCAAGGGCATTGAAGATGAAACGTGGCTGGGTCTTTCAGCATGACAATGATCCCAAACACACCGCCCGGGCAACGAAGGAGTGGCTTCGTAAGAAGCATTTCAAGGTCCTGGAGTGGCCTAGCCAGTCTCCAGATCTCAACCCCATAGAAAATCTTTGGAGGGGGGAGTTGAAAGTCCGTGTTGCCCAGCGACAGCCCCAAAACATCACTGCTCTAGAGGAGATCTGCATGGAGGAATGGGCAAAAATACCAGCAACAGTGTGTGAAAACCTTGTGAAGACTTACAGAAAACGTTTGACCTGTGTCATTGCCAACAAAGGGTATATAACAAAGTATTGAGAAACTTTTGTTATTGACCAAATACTTATTTTCCACCATAATTTGCAAATAAATTCATGAAAAATCCTAAAATGTGATTTTCTGGATTTTTTTTTTCTCAATTTGTCTGTCATAGTTGACGTGTACCTATGATGAAAATTACAGGCCTCTCTCATCTTTTTAAGTGGGAGAACTAGCACAATTGGTGGCTGACAATAATTTTATCCCCCACTGTATATACGCAGTGGGGAGAACAAGTCTTTGATACACTGCCGATTTTGCAGGTTTTCCTACTTACAAAGCATGTAGAGGTCTGTAATCATAGGTACACTTCAACTGTGAGAGACGGAATCTAAAACAAAAATCCAGAAAATCACATTGTATGATTTTTAAGTAATTAATTTGCATTTTATTGCATGACATAAGTATTTGATACATCAGAAAAGCAGAACTTAATATTTGGTACAGAAACCTTTGTTTGCAATTACAGAGATCTTACGTTTCCTGTAGGTCTTGACCAGGTTTGCACACACTGCAGCAGGGATTTTGGCCCACTCCTCCATACAGACCTTCTCCAGATCCTTCAGGTTTCGGGGCTGTCGCTGGGCAATACGGACTTTCAGCTCCCTCCAAAGATTTTATATTGGGTTCAGGTCTGGAGACTGGCTAGGCCACTCCAGGACCTTGAGATGCTTCTTACGGAGCCACTCCTTAGTTGCCCTGGCTGTGTGTTTCGGGTCGTTGTCATGCTGGAAGACCCAGCCACGACCCATCTTCAATGCTCTTACTGAGGGAAGGAGGTTGTTGGCCAAGATCTTGCGATACATGGCCCCATCCATCCTCCCCTCAATATGGTGCAGTCGTCCTGTCCCCTTTGCAAAAAAGCATCCCCAAAGAATGATGTTTCCACCCCCACGTTCTTGGGGTTGTACTCATCCTTCTTCTTCCTCCAAACACGGCGAGTGGAGTTTAGACCAAAAAGCTATATTTTGGTCTCATCAGACCACATGACCTTCTCCCATTCCTCCTCTGGATCATCCAGATGGTCATTAGCAAGCTTCAGACGGGCCTGGACATGCGCTGGCTTGAGCAGGGGGACCTTGCGTGCGCTGCAGGATTTTAATCCATGACGGCGTAGTGTGTTACTAATGGTTTTCTTTGAGACTGTGGTCCCAGCTCTCTTCAGGTCATTGACCAGGTCCTGCTGTGTAGTTCTGGGCTGATCCCTCACCTTCCTCATGATCATTGTTGCCCCACGAGGTGAGATCTTGCATGGAGCCCCAGACCGAGGGTGATTGACCGTCATCTTGAACTTCTTCCATTTTCGAATAATTGCGCCAACAGTTGTTGCCTTCTCACCAAGCTGCTTGCCTATTGTCCTGTAGCCCATCCCAGCGTTGTGCAGGTCTACAATTTTATCCCTGATGTCCTTACACAGCTCTCTGGTCTTGGCCATTGTGGAGAGGTTGGAGTCTGTTTGATTGAGTGTGTGGACAGGTGTCTTTTATACAGGTAACGAATTCAAACAGGTGCAGTTAATACAGGTAATGAGTGGAGAACAGGAGGGCTTCTTAAAGAAAAACTAACAGGTCTGTGAGATCCGGAATTCTTACTGGTTGGTAGATGATCAAATACTTATGTCATGCAATAAAATGCAAATTAATTACTTAAAAATCATACAATGTGATTTTCTGGATTTTTGTTTTAGATTCCGTCTCTCACAGTTGAAGTGTACCTATGATAAGAAATTACAGACCTCTACATGCTTTGTAAGTAGGAAAACCTGCAAAATCGGCAGTGTATCAAATACTTGTTCTCCCCACTGTACGTACGTACATACATGCATACATACATACATACATACATACATATACACACACACACACACACGCACACACACAGAAGTATGTGGACAATGGGATACAATATTGTCACATAATATCGGCTATGAAATCGAATATCATCGGGTACTAATAGCCTATGTTTTATTGGCAGATAATGTATGTAGGCTGTTATATTGTGCATCTCTTTGTGGAACCACAATTTTTTTTCCCACTTTCTTATTACAAGACTTTTGTTCATAGTCTTGTTGTTTCAGCTCATATCCCATTGTTCTTAGAATTGATTTTCACTGCTTAGCTCATGAAAAATAATTATTTTAGCCTTGGGCTGTGTAGTTGCTGTAGAATTCGGACCTTGAATCAATTTCCTGTTGCACACATTGTAAATCAATTATTAAAAGAAATGATTGCCCCAATGTTATGATGATAGTTTGAATTAAATGACCTTAAAGGCCCACTCTGATCTTTACAGCTGTTTTTGGTAATTTAAATGAATGATAAATACCCATTGGGCGATTCCACACCAAGACAGCCCAAAAATATGTTTGGTGTCTCAGATTGTTCTGGAAATTCTCACATAGAAGCTTCATCGGGAGGAAGGATCTTTGACATGCTTTTTACATTTGTATAATAATAATAATATGCCATTTAGCAGACGCTTTTATCCAAAGCGACTTAAAGTCATGTGTGCATACATTTTTACGTATGGGTGGTCTTGGGGATCGAACCCACTACCCTGGCGTTACAAGTGCCATGCTCTACCAATTGAGCTACAGAGGACCACTGTATCACAAACATGTTTGTATCACAAACATGATTTATTTTAGGCCCATTTTTAGAACTATACATGCCTCCTGTAAGACCCTATGATCCGTGAACCGAACCGTACATCATACAGACATCTTGGTGTAATTATACTCCTTATAGCAAGGATCATCAACTAGATTCAGCTGCGGGCCGATTTCTTTTTCTTGAGCGGATGGTCAGGGAGCAGGAACATAATTACAAATCATTTAAGAGTGTTTTACCAGTAGCCGAAAGGTTGCTGGATCGAATCTCTGAGCCGACTAGGTGAAAAATCTGTCTCTGCCCTTGAGCAAGGCACTTAACCCTAATAGCTCCTGTAAGTCGCTCTGGATAAGACTGTCTGCTAAATGACTTAAAATATAAATTTATTTATAGACTGCAAATTGACTGCAAGAAGCCCAAACAGCTATAATATTTGACTAAAACATAATAATTTCAAACCTTGCTTTCATTTGTGTACGATCACATCTATCTCTACTATGCGTGGGAATACTTTGGAACAGATTTCCAAAATGTTAATCACTTGGAGCTGATTTGCTTGTGTTTTTAGTGTTTTATGTCCAACAAGAACAACAATTATTTGGGGGGCCAAATAAAATCCCCACTGGCGGCCAAATTCGGGCCGCCAGTTGGGGAACCGCCTTATAGTGTGCTCTCATATGGAGTAGGTCTTAATTCTGAAATAAAAAATGTCATTTATTCAACAAATGTAATATCTCAAAAGTACCCTTTTTTAAGAATTTTTTGGAACAATATACTCTTCAAATACATACATTTCCAGAGTGGGCTATGACCAATTTTATACATAGAAATTGACATTATAGGTCTTTAACCAATCACAGCCCTTCTTTAGGATTGCGCATTTGGCAAATCACCAATGGAAGGAGTTCCCTTTGAATAAATGTTCCCATTCACTGTGTTGGTGGTGCACATAACATTTACAGTTGAAATCGGAAGTTTACATACACCTTAGCCAAATACATTTAAATTCAGTTTTTCACAATTCCTGACATTTAATCCTAGTAAAAAATCCCTGTTTTAGGTCAGTTAGGGTCACCACTTTATTTTAAGAATGTGAAATGTCAGAATAATAGTAGTGATTTATTTCAGCTTTTATTTATTTCATCACATTCCCAGTAGGTCAGAGGTTTACATACACTCAATTAGTATTTGGTAGCATTGCCTTTTAAATTGTTTAACTTGGGTCAAACGTTTTGGGTAGCCTTCCACAAGCTTTCCACAATAAGTTGGGTGAATTTTGGCCCATTCCTCCTGACAGAACTGGTGTAAGTGAGTCAGGTTTATAGGCCTCCTTGCTCGCACACGCCTTTTCAGTTCTGCCCACAAATGTTCTATAGGATTGAGTTCAGGGCTTTGTGATGGCCACTCCAATACCTTGACTTTGTTGTCCTTAAGCCATTTTGCCACAACTTCGGAAGTATGCTTGGGGTCATTGTCCATTTGGAAGATCCATTTGCGACCAAGCTTTAACTTCCTGACTGATGTCTTGAGATGTTGCTTCAATATATCCACATAATTTTCCTTCCTCATGATGTCATCTATTTTGTGAAGTGCACCAGTCCCTCCTGCAGCAAAGCAACCCCACAGCATGATGCTGCCACCCTCGTGCTTCACGGTTGGGATGGTGTTTTTCGGCTTGCAAGCCTTCAACTTTTTCCTCCAAACATAACGATGGTCATTATGGCCAAACAGTTCTATTTTTGTTTCATCAGACCAGAGGAAATTTTTCCAAAAAAGTATGATCTTTGTCCCCATGAGCAGTTGCAAACCATAGTCTGGCTTTTTTATGGCGGTTTTGGAGCAGTGGCTTCTTCCTTACTGAGCAGCCTTTCAGGTTATGTCGATATAGGACTCGTTTTACTGTGAATGTAAAAAGATTTGTACCTGTTTCCTCCAGCATCTTCACAAGGTCCTTTGTTGTTGTTCTGGGATTGATTTGCACTTTTCGCACCAAGGTACGTTCATCTCTAGGAGACAGAACGCGTCTCCTTCCTGAGCGGTATGACGGCTGCGTGGTCCCATGGTGTTTATACTTGCATACTATTGTTTGTACAGATGAACGTGGTACCTTCAGGCGTTTGGAAATTGCTCCCAAGGATGAACCAGACTTGTGGTCATCTACAAAAAAAAGATTCTGAGGTCTTGGCTGATTTCTTTTGATTTTCCCATGATGTCAAGCAAAGAGGCACTGAGTTTGAAGATAGGCCTTGAAATACATCCACAGGTACACCTCCAATTGACTGAAATGATGTCAATTAGCCTATCAGAAGCTTCTAAAGCCATGACATCATTTTCTGGAATTTTCCAAGCTGTTTAAAGGCACAGTCAATTTAGTGTTTGTAAACTTCTGACCCACTGGAATTGTGATACAGTGAATTATAAGTGAAATCTGTCTGTAAACAATTGTTGGAAAAATTACTTGTGTCATGCACAAAGTAGATGTCCTAACCGACTTGCCAAAACTATAGTTTGTTACCAAGAAATGTGTGGAGTGGTTGAAAAATGAGTTTTGATGACTCCAACCTAAAGTGTATGTAAACTTCCGACTTCAACTGTATCATAACGTCAAAATTAGCAGAGAGCCCACTCTGGAAATGTGATGTAGAGTATATTGTTCCAAACAATGTCTTAAAATGAACAAAATCAAATAGGGTACCTATGAGATACTAATATTTTTCATGTTGAATAAAATAATGTGAAATTATATTTCAGAATCTAGACGTACTCCATATGTTAGAACATACTATAATGACACCAAGATGTTGTCTGTATCATGTACGGTCACGGATCATAGGGTCTTACAGGAGGCATGTGAAGTGCATTCGGAATGTATTCAGACCCCTTGACTTTTTCCAAATGTTGTTACGTTACAGCCTTATTCTACAATTGATTAAATAAAACATTCGTCATCAATCTACACACAATACCCCATAATGACAAAACGAAATCGTACCTTATTTACGTAAGTATTCAGACCCTTTGCTATGAGACTCGAAATTGAGCTCATGTGCATCCTGTTTCCATTGATCGTCCTTGAGATGTTTCTACAACTTGATTGGAGTCCACCTGTGGTAAATTCAATTGATTGGACATGATTTGGAAAGGCACTCACCTGTCTATATAAGGTCCCACAGTTGACAGTGCATGTCAGAGCAAAAACCAAGCAATGAGGTCGAAGGAATTGTCCATAGAGCTCCGAGACAGGATTGTGTCGAGGCACAGATCTGGGGAGTTTGCCAAAAGGCAGCTAAAGACTCTCAGACCATGAGAAACAAGATTCTCTGGTCTGATGAAACCAAGATTGAAGTCTTTGGCCTGAATGCCAAGCGTCATGTCTGGAGGAAACCTTGCACCATCCCTATGGTTAAGCATGGTGGTGGCAGCAGTATCATGCTGTGGGGATGTTTTTCAGCGGCAGGGAGACTAGTCAGGATCGAGGGAAAGATGAACGGAGCAAAGTACAGAGAGATGCTTGATGAAAACCTGCTCCAGAGCGCACAGGACCTCAGACTGGGGTGAAGATTCACCTTCCAACAAGACGACAACAACCCGGACTTGAACCTGATCGAACATCTCTGGAGCCACCTGAAAACAGATGTGCAGCAATGCTCCCCATCCAACTGGACAGAGCTTAAGAGGATCTGCAGAGAAGAATGGGAGGAACTCCCAAAATACAGGTGTGCCAAGCTTGTAGAGTCATACCTAAGAAGACTCGAGGCTGTAATCGCTGCCAAAGGTGCTTCAAGAAAGTACTGAAGTAAAGGGTCTGAATTGTTACAGTGCATTCGTAAAGTATTCAGACCCCTTGACCTTTTCTACATTTTGTTATGTTATTACAGCCTTATTCTAAAATTGATTACATTGTTTTCCCCCCTCATCAATCTACACACAATACCCCATAATGACAAAGCAAAAACAGTTTAAAAAAAAAATATATTTTGCTAATTTATACAAATAAAAAAACTGGAAATATTAAATTTTTCATAAGTATTCAGACCCTTTACTCAGTACTTTGTTAAAGCACTTTTGGCAGCGAATACAGCATCAAGTCTTCTTGGGTATGACGCTACAAGCTTGGCACACCTGTATTTGGGGAGTTTCTCCCATTCCTCTCTGCAGATCCTCTCAAGTTCTGTCAGGTTGGATGGGGAGCATTGCTGCACATCTGTTTTCAGGTGGCTCCAGAGATGTTCGATCGGGTTCAAGTCCGGGCTCTGGCGGGGCCACTCAAGGTAATTCAGAGACTTCTACCGAAGCCACTCCTGCCTTGTCTTGGCTGTGTGCTTAGGGTCGTTGTCCTGTTGGAAGGTGAACCTTCGCCCCAGTCTGGGGTCCTGAGCGCTCTGGAGCAGGTTTTCATCAAGGATCTCTCTGTACTTTGCTCCGTTCATCTTTCCCTCGATCCTGACTAGTCTCCCAGTCCCTGCGACTTCTCCCCCGATTGCTCAGTTTGACCGGGCGGCCAGCTGTAGAAAGGGTCTTGGTGGTTCCAAACTTCTTCCATTTAAGAATGATGGAGGCCACTGCACCATTGAAGGTCCCCAAGAACACAGACATTTTTTGGTACCCTTCTCCAGATCTGTGCCTCGACACAATCCTGTCTCGGAACTCTATGGACAATTCCTTCGACCTGATGGCTTAGTTTTTGCTCTGACATGCACTGTCAACTGTGGGACTTTATATAGACAGGTGTGTGCCTTTCCAAATCATGTCCAATCAATTGAATTTACCACAGGTGGACTTCAATCAAGTTGTAGAAACATCTCAAGGATGATCAATGGAAACAGGATGCACCTGAGCTCAATTCCAAGTTTCATAGCAAGGGGTCTGAATTCTTATTTTTGGTACATTTGCTAAATTTTCTAGAAACCTGTTTTCACTTTGTTATAATGGGGTATTGTGTATAGATTGAGGGGGAAAAAATAAATGTAATCCATTTTAGAATAAGGCTGTAAAGCAACAAAATGTGGAAAATGTCAAGGGTTCTGAATAATTTCCGAATGCACTGTATATGTCTAAAACGTGCCTAAAATGGCCACATTAATCATTTTCTTCCCTTTGTTTTTTTCATTGTTTGTGATACAAATGTAAAAAGCATGTTAAACATCCTTCCTCCCAATGTAGTTTCTATGTGAGAATTGACAGAACATTCTACCAAAACTTTTTTTGGCCTATTCTGGCGTGGAATCGCATTTGATTCTTGAAGAACAATCACCACTTATCTCCTTTTTATTCCAGCCTCTGCCCCAGAGTCCCCAGTGGCACCAGCCGCGCCCCCACCTCTCTCTGCCTCCCCCGCTCAATCATTCTCTCCCTCTCCCCCGCCTTCCCCCTTACTTCTCCTCTCTCTCCCTTCATCACCCCTGCCCCCACAAGAGGCGGCACAACAGCAGAAGCAGTCCCAACCTCCGAGCCCCCTCCCTCCTTCCATTCCTTCCCCTCTTCCTCCTGCTCCCGCCACCCTCCCTCCCTCCTCCCCGACTCCTCCTTCCTCCCCTCCCCCGGCCTCCGATTCCCCCTCACTGGAGCTCCCCGCGTCCCCGGAAGATGCTCCCGCCCCTCAGGTCACCTCTCTGCATGTGGCCCAGAAGCAGGAGGACGCTGCCATCGCTGGAGAGAGCGAGGATGACGAGAGCGAGAGCGGAGGGGAAGGCATTTTCCGAGAGAGGGACGAGTTTGTGGTGCGCGTAGAAGACATCGCAACAATGAAGGTATTTGTGTGTTTTTGTGCGCGTGTGTAAAAAAGGCATCACTAACCAGTCGATAGGTTGGATGGTTAGTCCGTATAGTCCATCTGTTCCGTAAGTTGATTGTGTGAGTATGTGTGTGTCCGTATGTGGTATATGTGTGTTCAGGATGTGCTGTATTAATTCCCTCACCCCTCTGTCCCCAGCTTGCCCTGAAGACCGGTCGAGAGCCTCCCCCCATCTGGAGGGTGCAGAAAGCCCTGCTGCAGAAGTTCAGCCCCGAGATCAAGAACGGACAGAGGCAGTTCTGTGCCACCAGCAATGTGAGTCAGTCAGTCTGTCCACCCAACACAGTGGTATTCAAACTTGTTCAGCGGGGACCCCATTTTCTCCGCCAGAATTTCTGGGGACCCCATTTTTTCCCCCCAAAGAATTTCTCGCGACCAGACCCCACAACCTTAAAATCTGTAAATTTAGATTTTTACGTCAACAAAGAACCCTCAATTCATTTCATTTTTCATCTCTTGTCAAAAATGAAAACAAACCAATACATACATTTACTCAATACAATTGTATTTTTCAAATGATCTTTCTCAAAAACGTTTGTATTTCTTCCCATACAATAATCTGTACTCTTAATTTTGTGTTCCGCTGACCCAACACTGCTCAATGTCAAAACATAATGCACCTTTCTGTCTATCAGCAGGGCACGCAATGGAATTTTTTTTAAACACATGAGCGTCAAGTAGGACAAGTCCAGATAGTCTCTCCCTGTTTCAGTACCTTTTCCACAGTTGGGTGCCTAATGTTCCACTGACCCAACAATGAAGATCACTGTTCAATCTCAACACAGATTGCTTGTTTCTGTGTCCGTCTGTGTGATTGTTGGTTGCATTTCAGGTCGTCTTAATTGCAGTCGCTGAGCATCTCACGAGTGCTATATCATATTAATGTGATTCCTGAGACATTAAACTGTTCCTAGATCAGCACGCGGACTATTTTGCCTTTTAGATTATTAGACATGGACAGTGGGAACCTGGTTTTAGGTCAACATTCCTACTCTGAGACACTTTATGAATATGGAACCTAATAAACTGTGTAGCACGACAGCAATAAAGATGACCTGGAACAGACCAACTGATTTGTGTGGACCCCAGGATGACTAGCTGTTCAATAAGTAGTTATCAGGCATCCCAATAAACAAAATGGCTACTCTTTCTCTTCCTCAGTATCTGGGCTACTTTGGAGACGCCAAGATGCGGTACCAGCGCCTGTACGTCAAGTTCCTGGAAAACGTCAACAAGAAGGACTACGTGAGAGTGTGCTCTCGACGACCATGGCACAGACCATCCGGACTGAGGTACCCATCGGGATCTATTCTATACACCCATTTCCCGGCCGCATCATGAAAAGTTGCGTGCGCAGGTCTTCATCAGAAACCTCTTTTGTTAACCTAGCAGTGGATAAGATGACCTGCAACTTCAAATGCAGCTCGTGCAAGGTAACAAACACATAATTAGATGGTTATCGTCAGAGGATTGATTACCTAGCAAGCCAGTGAGGCAAGGTAAAATCACAAATAGAGCCAGATAAAGCCAGAAGAATAATATACTTGTTGAACATGGCTATAGCCATCGGTCTTGAGTGTTTTCATGGTCATTACCCAGTCACTGTTAAGTTTGTCAAGGTCATGACATCAGCGTTAGCTATCCTGCTACAGAGCTTTCTGATGTCGGGATGCTTGCGCATCACTCGAACGTGACGTTTGATGGTAAACAGAAAATGGCTCTATTTTGGTGTACATTGTATATGCCTTTACTTCTCAAAGGTTTTCTTCCACCTTGTCATTGAACAATTCATAGGACAGTGCTGTCCGAAATATATGTTTTGAAGGTTTATTACTTGCACCTCTAAAATATACATTTCAGTGTGCTGTCCTGTTGAATGTCCATGGACAATGTTTAAGAGGAAAATATTAGCCTAAAGAGCTAACATGGTGTTTGCACTAACATCAAGCCATCCAGTGTGTTCCCAAAAATCTGAAGTAACCAGCATACTGAAAAAATCTGCCAGCTAGGGGGTTGAGAAGGCATGACCCCCACAAAATTAGGGTTTGTAGTCAGCGATTTGGTTGGAAGTGGGTGCTTATAGAACTGGGCATCTGAAATATGATTGCCTTCTCTTTATTCAAATCCCTACTCATCTTCAACAGGCAACAGGCCCTTCCCAAAATGGCTTCCCCGCCTCTCACCACCCAGACCCCGCCTCGAGCTGAGAAGGAGGAGAGGGAGCAGCGAGTGGCAACGGCACGAGAGCCAGTGCAGCGTAAGCCCAGGGAGAGAACAAGGGCAAAGAACGAACTGCGAGAAAAAGAGAAGGCGGCTGCGGTGGTGAAAGAGGAGTGGGAGAAAGAGAAGCAGAGAGAGGAGAAGGAGAAGAGGGTGCAGCCGTCTCAGAAGCCTGAGAAACGGGCCGCCACAGTGGCAACGACGGAACGAGGGAAGGGGAAGGAGAAGAAAGGGGGAGTGGAGAAAGGGAAGAAGGTAGAGCGGCCTCCCAAGTTGAAGCCAGCCAAGGTCAAGGCGGAACCGCTTCTGAAAAAGAGGAAGTGGCTGAAGGAGGTCCCCTCGTCGTCTGATTCCGACTCATCCGAGGAGGCAGCCAGCGAGGATGAGAGTGAGAAGCGTTTTTTGCCTATAGGGCCAGTTTCTTAGACACAGATTAAGCCTAGTCCAGGAGTAAAATGCATTCTCAATGGAGATTCTCAATTGAAATAGCTTTTTAGTCCAAGACTAGTCATGAACTGTGTCTTGGAATGTAGCCCATAATATTTTATTTTGTGAAGCAGTTTTGTACTGATTATTGTTGGTACACCATACATACTATATAGTGCACTACTTTTGACCAGAGGTAGTGCACTATGAAGGGATTATAGTGCCAATTGGAACGCTGTGCCTTCAGAAAGTATTCATACCCTTTTACTTATTCCACATTTTGTTACAGCCTGAATTCAAAATTGATTAAATTGATCTCTACACTACCCAATAATGAAAGTCAAAACATATTTTTAGAAATGTTTGCAAATGTATTGAAAATGAAATATAGAAATATCTCATTTACGTAAGTATTCACACACTTGAGTCAATACTTTGTAGAAGCACCTTTTGGCAGCAATTACAGCTGTAACTCTCTCTCTGTCTCTTAGAGCTTTCCACACCTGGATTGTGCAACATTTGACCATTATTCTTTTCAAAATTCTTCATGCTCTGTCAAATTGTTTGTTGATCATTGCTGGACAACTATTTTCCGGTCTTGCCGTAGGTTTTCAAGCAGATTTAAGTCAAAACTGTAACTCGGCCACTCATGAACATTCACTGTTTTTTTGGTAAGCAACTCCAGTGTAGATTTGGCCTTGTGTTTTAGGTTATTGTCCTGCTGAAAGATGAATTAATCTCCCAGTGTCTGGTGGAAAGCAAACTGAACCAGGTTTTCCTCTAGGATTTTGCTTGTGCTTAACTCCATTCCGTTTCTTTTTTTATCCTGAAAAACTCTCCAGTCGTTAACGATTACAAGCATACCCATAACATGATGCTGCCACCACTATGCTTGAAAAATGGAGAGTGGTACTCAGTAATGCGTTATTGGATTTGCCCCAAACAAACATTTGTATTCAGGACAAAAAGTTAATTGCTTTGCCAAATTTTTTCCAGTATTACTTTAGTGCCTTGTTGCAAACAGGATGCATGTTTTCGAATATCTTTGTTCCGTACAAGCTTCCATCTTTTCACTCTGTCAATTAGGTTAGTATTGTGGAGTAACTACAATGTTGTTGATCTATCCTCAGTTTTCTCTTATCACAGCCATTAAACTCTAACTGTTTTAAAGTCACCATTGGCTTCCTGATGAAATCCCTGAGCGGTTTCCTTCCTCTCCAGCAACTGAGTTAGGAAGGACGCTTGTGTCTTTGTAGTGACTTGGTGTATTAATACACCATCCAAAGTGTAATTAATAACTTCACCATGCTCAAACGGATATTCAATGTCTGCTTTTATTTATTTTTTACCCATCTACCAATAGGTGCCCTTCTTTGCGAGGCATTGGAAAACCTTGCTGGTCTTTGTGGTTGAATCTGTGTTTGGAATACACTGCTCGACTGAGAAACCTTACAGATAATTGTATGTGTGGGGTACAGAGATGAGGTAGTCATTCAAAATTAATGTAAAACACTATTATTGTGTTGGCTTCATGGTGAAATCCCTGAGCGGTTTCCTTCCTCTCCGGCAACTGAGTTAGGAAGGACGCCTGTATCTTTAGTGATTGGGTGTACTATTTTTAGGCTTGCCATAACAAAAAGGGGTTGAATACTTATTGACTCAAGACATTTCAGCTTTTAATATTTTTCAAAAAACATAATTCCACTTTGACATTATGGGGTATTGTGTGTAGGCCAGTGACAAATCTCATTTTAAATTTGGGCTGTAACACAACACAATATGGAAAAAGTAAAGGGGTGTGAATACTTTCTGAAGGCACTGTATGTTTATCCCATATGTATCTGTATTTGTGCAGTCCAACTGGGTGGAGGGATTCTGTAATGGTCAGGGGAGTAATAGGTGTCTGTATATGCCCCATAATAAATGGAATAAAATGGCTGTTTGGGTGCGCCAGGCAGTGAATAGAAGGGGAGACAAATAAAAGCTTTCAGGAATGTATTCGGCAATTAGGTAGAGCTGTGTGTGTGTGTGGGGGGTTGTCACGATAATATGATACAACATGTTCCATTGCAAAAAGGAAAACGCAATGCAGACTACACTCTTTGGTCATTTAAGAATGTTATGTTACGTATTGTGTGCAATAGCTTGGAGATTAAACAAATGTGACTCTGGGTTACAACATAAGAAACCATTTTGCTGTTTTCCTCAATTTCCTTGACATGATACGTCTGAATATTGTGATACAGGTGTGACAACCCTATGTGTGTTGGTGTGTATGCCATGCGTGTCTAACCCCTGTATGTGTGTGTGTGTGTGTGTGTGTGTGTGTAACCTCTATGCAGTGACAATGCAAGGTGGGGTGAACAACCGGGCCATGCGGGAGATGTTCAGGAGCTATGTGGAGATGCTGGTCAGCACGGCCCTGGACCCCGACATGATCCAAGCCCTGGAGGATACAGACGGTGAGAGCTCAGAACACACACACACACACACACACACACACACACGGCCCTGGACCTCAACATGACACAGACGGTGAGAGCAGAACACACACACAGCCCTGAGGGGTGAACTACGAAGCTGGATAGAGGAGTTACTGCGCTAACTTGGGTCAATTCCTATTTAACTCGGGATAACCGTTGACACGAAGGTGGCTCACCTGTTAGCCAGGTACATTTCTATGGCAACGAATGCTTTAGCTTTAACCTGCTAACTCCATCCTGAATGAAGTGTTTAAGGCTCGAGGACCAATCAAATTAGATTCCCTCACTCTCGCAAAAAATGGGTCATCATCCTCTTCTCTGGACCATATTTGAGAAAGATGACTGATTTTTAAATATTTTATTAGTCAGATGTTCTTTTGTGTTAAAAATAGCCATATTAAAATGCATATCACATTACACATTTTAGTAATGATAGGATGCATTTGAAACTTCATGCGCTATAAAACTTTCGTATGACCTATCGATATTTAGTTTTTATTAAGAGTGGGGAAAAGGGGGTTTGTGCATTGATAAGCACACCAAAGACAACATTAACAATATAATTAATAAAAGAATGACGGCACTTCTAATAGCCTATTTCCCACTATATCCTGCTGAATTTGCAGGATAACCTGTCTTTCATTTTGATATCGGCAAAAATGTAAATGTGGCACTTGACTCCTCCATGGATTGCTATTTCAGCATTGGCTCAATGAAGAGTTTGCCGTTAGACCAGCCATGTTCGACACAAACACGCAGTTACAAGCTGGCTCGAGTTAACGGCGGTTGCGCGGTCAATATCCACCTTCGTAACATGGCTGACACACACACACACACACACACACACACACACACACAAAATACTCTACCAGTTTATTGTAAAAACAGCTGTTTCGAACACAACACACCAGTGGGCCTGGGTTAGGGCTGCACAATGAATCGAATTCAAATCGAAATCGCAATATTGATATGTGCAATATCCATATAGCAAGAGGTTAGAGCTGGGACGATAAACCGACTATTACCGACACTGACATTTCTAACTCATACAGAAGCAATTTTGCATATGTCGGTAATTTTCTGTGATTACACAATGTTCCTGCGTGCATTAACCAATAGCCTATGGAGCAGCACGGCATATATGAAAGTGAAACGGCATAGGAAGAAGCATTGCGCTCCCGGAACTCAACACTTTCATCGACGCCGTTTTATTTGAACCAAGACTACAGCAGCCAATCAGAGCCGTTTTCTATCCCATGCTTACCACACCTTTTGTTGGCAGTTCTCCCAAGTGATGTTGCGAGTAAACTTGTTCATTAGCAGTGAAAAATTAGGAAAATGCAGTCCCAGAAAGCCAAGAACAATTACTGCCAAAGAAGGATGCAGTGTCGGTTGTTTGGAACTATTTTGGTTTTAAACCTAGGGACAGGCAGAGTGAGGTGGTGTGCTTGAACTGTTGCAAAACTATAGCAACCACTGGAGGTAACACAAACCACTTATTCTACCATTTGAAACACAGGCATGTAATACAGCATGACAAATGCATGGCAAAGAAACATTTGGCGAACGAGCGTCATCGCGAGAGGAAAGCCCAGGGGCAACAATCCATTACGGAATTGTTTGCACACAGAACTCCCTATGCACTCACTGATGGAATTAAATAACAGATGCCATAACGTACCACATAGCAAAAGACGTGGTAATTTCAACAGTTGAACAAAATGTCATTAATAAAATATTTCTCACAAACAGCATTTGTACAAGAAATGTCATGCCAAAATAGCATCGGAGCTGAAACGGGTGAACTATTTCGTGACAACTCATAGGTCCAGCAGGACGCTGGAGCCCTACATGTAATTGGCACTGCACTACATCGATGACGTTTGGAAGCTTCGCAACAGGTGCTTGCAGACTGCCTACTTTCCAGAGGACCACACTGGGGAGATGATAGCCCAGGGGCTGCAGGACTCGCTAGCAGCCTGGGATCAGCCAGAGGAGAAGCAGGTGTGCATCCCAACGAACCGTGGGGCAAACGTTGTGAAGGCCACCAACCTAAAATGGATACGAGGCTGCAGTGTTTTGGCCATAGACTTCACCTCGCCATCGGTATGTATTGTAATAAAGTGAAATATAAATTGAGCAAAAAGTTATAGGCATACATTTTGATTGTGTTTGGACCAAATAATATGTTACAATTACCTAACACCAATATACTAACGGATTTGAACTTAGTTTAAAATACTATTACATTTAAAATCAGTCTCATGTCTTCATAAGACATAAATGCATAAATCAATGAATGTTTAAAATACAGGTCTCTTTCTGTAGCAGCATTATATTATCTCATAAAATATATGCATTACATTTTATCAATTGAAGTAATGAAATGCATTTGTTTTATTTAATTAGGCACTTTTCTGTGTTTAATTTTCAACAGAAAACTCCATGAAAGATCCCTGTGTAGGACGAGCTATAGCGATGTGCAAGAAGGTGGGCAGCACCTTTTCATACAGCTGGAAAAAGTCAGTGGCCCTGGTGACGACACAGAAGGAGCTCAAGCTGCCACAACACAAACTGAAAACTGCCTGTGTAACACGATGAGGATCCAGGCGGCTGATGATTGCAAGGTTCCAGGAGCAACAGCGAGCCATCATACAAATCCTCTCTGCAGACAAGAAGACCAGGAACCTGTCGCCCTCCTGGCAAGACATCGACCTCCTGGAGGCTATCAACAAAGCTCTTAGCCCAGTGATGGAAGTTAAGAGATGCACTCTCAGGAGAACATTATGTGAGTCATTTGTGAAGCCTTTTCTGCATATCCTCAACTCAAGTGGAGGAGGAGAAGGAAACATCGCTGACCAAGTCTATCAAGAGAAACATCTTGGGCTACCTGAATGAAAAGGAGCAGCTGGCCCTGGCCTGTTTTCTTTACCCCAGATTCAAGATCAAATACATCAGAGCACACAATGTCCCCTCGATCAAAACAAAAGTGAAAATGGAGATGGAGTCAGCATCACCAACAGTGGTGAGGCCCACAGTGAGCACAGAACCCCAAGAAGCAAGTGCAGTTAGTGCACCAGAGGTGAAAAGGGCCAGGAAGTCTTTGGGGAGCTTTTTCAAGGGAAGCGACACATCAGCTTCAACATCTGTCCCCACTGTGTCACTACGGGGAGCACTGGAAGCAGAGATGGATAGCTACATGTTTTCCGCTTTGGTAGACATTGAAGAGGATCCACTGGCTTAGTGGAAGTTGCATCATATCAACTTTTCTACAATAAGCAAACTGGCACGGAAGTACCTGTGTATCCCTGCCACCAGCTCGCCATCTGATTGAGTTTTCAGCACAGGTGGCAACATTGTTACATGCCGCCGATCATGTTTGAAACCAGACAAGGTCAATATGTTGGTTTTTCTGGCTAAAAACCTAGAGTATGATGGGCCTGAAGGCCAGTATTTTTTTTTTTTCAGTTTACAAATGTACTGTTTACAAATGTACTGACACTGAAAATGTGCTGACACTAACCAGGTTTCCATCCAGCCTTTTTATTCGAGTAAAGTACATGACGGATAATCTTTTTTATGACAGGCCTTATGTCGGTATACTATCCAAATGTCGACAAAACTAAATACGCTAGACAAGGTGGGATCATTTTGTCTGTAAAATGTATTATCTGAGAAATGTCGGTGGAAAAGCTTTTATGCGCAAATATTGATATAATAACCTTCATATCGAAGTAAACTTGGAGTCATGCAGTTTTTTTAGGCTACATATTAAATAAGTTATGATGAACTTCACAGTGAAAGTGCAAGGTGATGAGCTTGATGATGCTTCTTTCCAATAAATATTGAGGGTCCTATAGACTGGTTGTTTTTTTTGCAACAAAACCGAGGTGTGCGCAACTATCGGGCAAAACAAACGGGGTTGGCTTAGATTGTTGACATGTAAGCTATATTTAATCTCCAATGTTTATTGAAAACATGAATACATTTGCACAACGCTCACTTGGTTTCTCTTACATACATCGTAACAGTTGTTGGTTGGCTAGCTAGTGAATTTTTGTCATATTAGCATTGACATGAAAAATCAGTCAAAACACCTCAAAACTAGACATGGTATCAATAACGAGATGAAACGAGCCACTTAAGATTCCCCACACGGCAGTTTCTTGTCATTCATGCCAGCAATCTGGCCATCTAGAATTGTTGTTAGCTAACCCATTTATTCTGGTGACATGATCATCGATGCTTGGCTGCCGTTTGACAAATAAAAATAATCTTGCTCTTTTGTCCATAATAATAATGTAGGCTATAACCGCACTGTATCTGCGAGCTGTGACTTTTAACGTGGCACTGGCATAGGATGCCACCTTTCCAAAGGTAGGTGTGTGGATTAGAAAACCAGTCAGTATCTGGTGTGAACACCATTTGCCTCATGCAGCGCGACATCTCCTTCGCATAGAGTTGATCAAGCTGTTGATTGTGGCCTGTGAAATGCTGTCCCTCTCCTCTTCAATGGCTATGTGAAGTTGCTGGATATTGGTGGGAACTGGAACAGGCTGTCGTACACGTCGATTCAGAGCATCCCAAACGTGCTCAATGGGTGACATTTCTGGTGAGTATGCAGGCCATTCAAGAACTGGGACATTTCCAGCTTCCAGGAATTGTGTACAGATCCTTGTGACAAGGGGCCGTGCATTATCATGCTGAAACATGAGGGGATGGTGGCGGATGAATGGCATGACAATGGTCCTCAGGATTTCGTCACGGTATCTCTGCGCGTTCAAATTGCCATTGATAAAATGCAATTGTGTTTGTTGTCCGTAGCTTATGCCTGCCCATACCATAACCCCACCGCCTCCAGGCGGCACTCTGTTCAGAACGTTGACATCAGCAAACCCACACAACGCCTGCCATCTTCCCGGTACAGTTGAAACCGGGATCCATTTGTGAGGAGCACACTTCTCCAGCGTTGCAATC